CAGCTGGCGGCCTTGGATGCAGCCCTGAAGCTGCTGCCCTCTCTCCACCCACGGCACGTCCAGGTCTGGCCTGGGCACGTGCCCCCTCCCCCCCCCCGGGGTCTCAGCCAACACCGGGCCTCGGCCGCTTCCAGGGCCACACCCGCGGCACCACGCAAACTCCAGGCGGCCGTGCACCGGGCTTCCTGCTGTCCCGGCGCAGTGTGCAGGGCCACCCACGGTGACGAGGCAAAGGGTGTAGAAGAGAACACGGCCCGTGGGTGGCTCACCGGCCAGTCACAAGGGCGCCCGCACAGACACAGCACCCACGACGACTACTCCAGCACGGCCCACGAGGAAGTTGCCGACTCAGCTGGTCCTCAGGAGGAGGTCCATTAGCACAGGGAGTCCAGCACTCGGCCTCCGGTGAGGTCAGGCCAGGTCCGCGACCTCCCAAAGCCGCCCTGGGCCGGGGCTGTGGTGGGAGCCAGGGGAACACTCACGCCTGCCTCAGCTCGTAAGTCCTGGAACCCGTGACGTGACAAGTCGGCGGCAGCAATGTGACTGTGGGCCCTCTGGGTGACCTTGATGGTGGGACGGTGTGTCCGACCAACGCAGACCCCCCACCTCTCCTCCGGGTGCAGGCAGGTGCGGCCCGGGACCCTGCAACAATCGGCCACCCGCACAGCGGAATCTAGGGGTCCCTCAGGACTGAAGACCTCATTCAGTAAAGGAAAGGGGTCCAGGGCAGCCGGGCTTTGGGGGAGCTCCTGCACACCCCTGGCCCTGCTCCCGGAGCAGGAGGTGGCCTGGGGGCAGCCACAGGCGGCCGGTGGCATGCGCGAGGGGCGCGGGTTCCCGCTGTGCCGTGCGCCCTGGGGACATCGCCGCTGTGTCACATGCAGCGTGCACCCGGGCCACCCTGGGGCCAGGGCCCAAGCACATGGGGCGGGTGGGTGCAGGTGGGGGCAGGGCCCGGGCCCGGGCTGATGCCCGTCACCCAGGAAAGCTGTGTCCGGGGAACGCTGGCTGTTTTTATTTTTTTATTTTGAGGCTCTGCATGTGCATCCCCTGTGCCTGGGCTTGGCCAGGTCTGGCTCTGGAGAACAAAATGACCTGTCCTTGGAGCACAAGAGGCCCTTCGTGGGAGGACGAGGGGATCGGTGTGGGGCGGCTCCCAGCCTCACAGTCGGCCCAGGCGAGACAGGCAAACACGCAAAGAGTGGACGCTTGGCCAGCACAGTCAGGGCCGAAGCTCCAGGGCACAGACCCCGCCGTGAGCAGCAGGGGTGCCCGAGGCCTCACCCGAGGTCTGGGTCGCGGCGAGCTGATGGGCACGGCAGGCCTGTGGGCGCAGGAGGAGGAAGCTCAGCCTCCCTCCACCCTCAGCCCCAGCTCCGCCGCTCTGCTCTGGCCTGGCATCTGAGAGAGGCGGCCCTGGCCCTGTGACGGCTTGGGCCACAAGGGGCGAGGACAGCACGGGGCCTCAATGCCCACATCCGCCCCACAGGGCTGCCGCCGCATTCAGGGGCCCTCCCTCCCGGCTCCGCACCCCAGGCCAGGTGCAGGCTGCAGGTGGGCAGTGTCTGCAGGGGGGGGAACGGGGAGCCAGCTGCACCCCGTTCAAGGGAGCGTCTCCTGCGCCCGGGCGCCACGAGGACTCCACGCCTCCTCGGGCCGTGCCCCCCAGCCCGCCGCCGCTGCCCCAGGGGGGGTTCCTGGCTGCTGCACTGGGGCCTCTTCACAGAGGAGCGGGTGGGGTGTCCAGTGCGTTGGGGCACCCACTGCGCAGCAGGGGAGACACCAGCATCTGCTCACACCTGGCCAGTGCTGTGCACACCTGTGCTTGAGGCCGGGTGTGAGCCCGCTGCTGTGTGTGCTTCCCGAAACCACGGGTCTGCTGGCAGCTGGGACGCTGTGTGGGAACAAGCGTGTGTGCAATGAGTGTGCTTCCTCCAGTTCGGCGTCAGGTTCGCCCACACCTGTGCGGCCAGTGCGACCTGTGCCTGCAGGCCTCCCCAGTCTGGGCCAGTCTAGGCCTGCAGCCTCACCCCCTGTGTCCCCCGGATAAGCATGGGGGCGGGTGAGGAGACAGGCCCCACCGCCCCCGGGGTCTCAGGGACACCCTGAGTTCCTCCACCTCCCCTCTGGGCCTCTCTTGCTAGGGTCACCCCGCATCTGGCGCTCAATAAATGATTGATTGGTGAGGGAATAGATGGAAAGCGTACTCCAGGGGTGCCGGCTGGAGAGGGGCGCTGGCAGGAGCTCCAGGGTAGGGAGAAGGTGCTGGCAGAAGCACCAACTGCGGACAGGAGATGGGTCAGCAGCGCCAGAGCGGGCGGTCAAGCCTGGCTGAGCCTGGGTTGGGGGCAGCAGGGTCGGCGGGCCGCCCCCGCGCTCCCCCGGGACGTCTCGGGTCACCGTTGTCTGCGCGGCGGCCGCGCCGCCCGCGGGTTATTTATGACGCCCTCCCCCTCCTGGCGGCGGGGGCGCTCCGGCCTCAGCCCGGCGGCGGCGGCGGCGGGGCCCCGTTCGGGGGACCGCGAGCAGCGACGGCGCTGCGAGGCCGGGGGCGGGGCCTCCACAGGCTGGGGGTGGAACTGTGGCTGGGCACCCCACCTGCCTTCCCTCCTCCTGCTTCCGGGCTGCCCTGCAGGGCGTGATTCCAGCGCCAAAACTGTCTCTCGAGCCTCCGGCTCCAGTCCGAGAAGTGCAGAGCTACCTGCGGGGCCCAGGCGCCGGGCCAGGACACAGGCGGACTGGCGGGAGGAAGTGAGCAGGTCCTGCAGGGAGGGGGGCTGACGACCAGGGCTGAGTGGGATGCCCGGTCCCGCTGAGGAAGTGGCTCAGACCCAGGAAGCTGAGGGGTCTATCTCCCAAGAAGAGGAGGAAACGTGGGGGTGAACTGCCCTGATCAGCTGAGGCCCTGGAAAGGGGTCCCCCCAGGAGTTGGGGAGTGGCCCTTGGAGAGAGGGGCCCGGCAGGGAGTTTTGCACACAGCCACGGTCTCCAGCGAGGGACCCTGGTCCTCCGGAGAGGTGGCACTCGATGCCGCATGGAGGGTAGGCTGGCTGAGGTCGGCTGGCCCTACCCCTTACCAGCTGAAGCCCTCCCCTGGAAGTCAGAGGTGGGGACCCCATGGGCACCCTTACTGACTGCGGGCCTGTGCTGAGGACCATGTGGGGAGTGCGAAGGGAGGCCCCTCCTCAGGCTCAGGTGGGAGGAGAGTCCTGGCCTGGCTGGGACCTGCTCAGGTCCCGAGGTGCCTCACCAGCCCTCCCTCCCCAAAGCACGGAGCAGGTGCAGTGCCCAGTGGAGAGCTGGGCAGAGGGAGCTGCGTCTCAGCCGCCCTCCCACTGGGCCTCCAGCCGCCTCCAACAGCCCCCACATTGACAGGGTGGCTCCTCTGGGACCCTGGCTGTTGGGCAGTGACAGCCTCCTGCATCCATTAGACATGGAGGCTTCACCCCTGAGAGCAAGACTCAAGCCACAGGGTCGCTGGGGGGGAGCCCCCATTATCACACCTTGGGTAAGGCTCACGGAAGGGTTCAGGCTGCAGGCGGGGCAGAGGGGCCACTCGCGTGTCCCCACATCCCCGTCAGCAGACGGATGGGAACGTGAGGAAGCAGCAGCAGCAGGGGCAGAGGCTGGGGCGCACTGGCAGGTTAGGTCCTGGTGGGCGCCCAGACCTGGGCCCGCAGGCTGGTCTCGGTGCCTCGGCTGAGGGTCGGGGGGCAGGCGTGTCAGCGAGGGGGCAGAATGGGTCCCCCCAAGGGTCAGCAGCCTGCCCAGCTCGGCTGGCGCCTGGTAGGAGGCGGAGGGCGGTGGCGTGTCCCCTCACTCCCAGTGTGACCGGCTGGCCCTGCAGCGTGTGGTCAGGGAGAGGCCCACGCAGACGCAGCCCCGAGGGGCAGCGGTTGGGGCCTGGCTGCTGCTGGGCTGGGATCTGAAGTTACCTTCCAGTTTGTCCGGAATGACACGCCACAGAAAGACCAGCTCCTGGCTGGTTCCTCAGCGTCTCTTTCTGCTTCTCCCGACCGAGGCCGGCCTGCAGGTGCGCACGGAGGTGCGGCCGGAGGGCCGGGGGGCCTCATCCTGCCCTCCCAAGGCACTGGGGTGGACGTGGGCATCGCAGGCCCTTTCTCCCCAGACGGGCTCCTCGTAGGGAGCAGAGACGGGCTCCATGCAGTCCGACGCCCACCGCCCCTTCCGTCCCCACGCCCCACCCCTCACCCGGACTGGGTCCCGCTCCCGCTCCGCCCGCACCTGGGCTCAGCTGCCGTGTGCCCTGAAGTCAGACAGCCTGGGTGTGACAGCAGGAGCCCCACTTGACTTCTCCTCGCCTCACCTTCCTCACCTGTAAAATGGAGACAATACGGAAAGGACTCTGAGAGGACCAGGTGACCTGAGGCGTGTCCAGTTCGTAGGAAGGCGGCACTAACCAACAGAATTGTTGCCGTTATTCACAGAACACAAGCCCTTCTGGGCATGTTTGCCAACTCCGCACACCACAGAGCCACGGCCTCCCACCTTGTAGGGGCAGAGAAACCCACCCAGGCCCTCCCTGCCACAGACGCCCACCACCCACGGGCGCTGAAACAACACTCCCACCCACAGCTGCAGGCTCACACCCACACGTCTGTCCCGGAAGCAGCCGAGCTCAATCCCAGATCCCCTCCTCTGCCAGGAGCCCCCTCGGGACCGGGCCACTGCTGCCCCACGTGGAGTCCCACACTCGCGACAGCGCTACCCCGACAGTACCTGCCTCAGCTATGGCGCTTGCGTGCACGCAGTGTCTCGCTAGCCCTCCCACCCCCACCCTGCCCCCACCCTCGGTCACCCTTCCTCCCGTCCCCGACCACGGAGGAATGGGGCAGGGGGTGCAGCCCTGTCCCGCAGCCCCGCCGCCTGTGTGAGCCTGGTCGGCCGTCACGCACCCCCTATTGGAGCCCGCGCCCGCCCGCCCGCCGCGCCGGGGCCTTTTAAATGGGCCAAGTTGTGGTGGCGGCGGTGGCGGCAGCGGCGGCGGGTCTCCCAAGTCCTCGCCCGGCGGGCGCGCGCCACAGTACGCGGGTGCGCGGCAAGGGCGGCGGGGCGGGGCGGGGTCCTGGGACCCCCGGGCTGGGCGGGGCGCGGGTCCGCAGACAGCAAGACTTACTGCTCGGCTCCGCCCGGCAGGCGGACCGGTGAGCGGGGGCGGGGTCGCCCCAGGGGGCGCGGGCGCAGGTGGCCGAGCGCCCCGCGGAGCCCTAGGGCCCTGGAGCTGCGGCGCTCGGCACGTCGATCCGGGATCCGAAGCAGCTTTGGTAGCACCATGTTTCGGGCAGCGGAGGCCCTGCCAGCCGGCCGGGCAGCCGTTCGAGGGGGCCCGGCGGGAGGCGCGGCATCAAGGCGCAGTAGCGGCTAGGGCGGGCTCGCCGCCAGGCGCCTCCCGGGTCCCCCGCCCCGAGACCCAACTCCAGCCCGGGAACAAGTTGAGCTGCCGACGGGAAGCCGGGTTGCAGGACCACTGGCCCGCCATGCCGGCGGTCAAGAAGGAGCTCCCGGGCCGCGAAGACCTGGCCCTGGCTCTGGCCACTTTCCATCCGACCCTGGCGGCGCTGCCGCTGCCGCCGCTGCCCGGCTACCTGGCTCCACTGCCTGCCGTGGCCGCGCTGCCTCCGGCAGCCTCGCTACCGGCCGCGACCGCTGGCTACGAGGCTCTCTTGGCTCCGCCGCTCCGCACCTCGCGCGCCTACCTGAGCCTGCATGAGGCCGCCCCACACCTCCACCTGCCCCGGGACCCTCTGGCCCTCGAGCGCTTCTCGGCCACGGCGGCTGCGGCACCGGATTTCCAGCCGCTGCTGGACAACGGCGAGCCGTGTATCGAGGTGGAGTGTGGCGCCAACCGCGCGCTGCTGTACGTGCGCAAACTCTGCCAGGGCAGCAAGGGTCCGTCCATCCGCCACCGCGGCGAGTGGCTTACACCCAACGAGTTCCAGTTTGTCAGCGGCCGCGAAACGGCCAAGGACTGGAAGCGCAGCATTCGCCACAAAGGTGCGCCCGCGGTGGGGGCGCGGGCTGCTTCGGTTCCTCCCCTCCGCTCCCCGAGGACCCGTGGGTCCGGACCCCACTCCTTCCGCCATCTGGGAAACTCCATCACCACCCAGAGAGGGCGCTGTGACTCTGGGGCTGCAGCAGGAACACTCCCCCACCCACCCCCATCGCAGTACGGTCTCCTAGGTGGACCCAGGCACAGCGCCCTCAGCCTCCGCGGTTCGCTCAGCCCCCGCCGCGGTGCCCCCGGGCTGCCTGCGGCGCACTAGCTAGCCGCTCCTTCTGCTCCGAAGGTCTTTGCGGGATTCCTGGGCCTCGCGGCGCAGGGGAAGTTTACGGGAACTCGGGAGAGCAGAGGGGAGGCGGGCCGGGCAGGACATTCCCCTCACCCCAACACCCGGACGCGGAGCCCAGGGATCTGGCGGGAGGGGAGCGCGGCACACGTGCGCCCAGGGCGCGGGTGCGCGCTGCTGGAGAGCGGGGCGAGGCGTAGGGGTGGCGCAGGCAGGTGGGGGCCGCGGGGCCGCGCGTCAGGGCGGGGGCGCGCGCAGAGCAGCGGCGGCGGCGGAGCTGGGAGCAGCCTGTTGGGCTCCTGCAGGAGTCTGACTCCAAGGGCGCGACGGGCGGGCGCCTGAGCGGACAAGCAGAGAAACGCGGTGAGGGGGGGTGGGAGACGTTAGAAAGTTAGGAACCGGTAGCGTTCGACTTTGGGGTTCGCGGCTTTTTAGTGGCTGCCCTCTTCCCGCTCCGGGCTCAGGCGCAGCCCCAGGCCCTGGCTGCGCCGCTCACTTGCCCCGGGGCTCGGCCTGCCTCAGCCCTTATTTTGGGGGTGCTCGCGGACGGGTTTGGAGAGGGTGGAGCGCGAGAAAATGGGGGCGGGGGGAAGGGGTGGAGGAGGCCGCCCTGGCTCTGGGAAGGGCGCTCGCCGGGATCCTCAGTTCCTGAGCTCAGCAAATCCTTACGGGGTCCGCGACGTGGGCTGGGCGGCGGGTTCGCAAGTTGGACTGAGGTGGGCGTTCGTGCTCGTGAGGGGAGGGTCCGGCCCCGCCGCCGACTGCGGCCCGGAAGTGTGCCCGAGTGCCGCCCGTCCGCTCACCGGTCCTGCCTCGGCTCTCCTCGCAGGGAAAAGTCTGAAGACGCTTATGTCCAAGGGGATTCTGCAGGTGCACCCTCCGATCTGCGACTGCCCGGGCTGCCGAATATCCTCCCCGGTGGTGAGATGCGGGGGAACCCTGGGGCTTTCCTCTCCCCCGTGGGGCGTGTGCGTGTCCTGCAGGGCCCAGAACCCTAACGTCAGCTCTGCCAGTGTGCAGGAGGGGCCCCAGGGACAAACGGGCGATTTTGCTGTGGGCGGGAATCCTGGGGCACCTGGAGCCCCCACCCCTTCGGATCCGGCCTATCCTGAAGCTCCTCCTTGGGAGCCTTGGAGCTGCTTCTCCCGAGGTCCCGGGAACAACCCAGGGTGTGAAGGTTCCTCCCTGGAGGCTGTTTTCCACCGACCTGGGGGCTCTGTCCATCACCAGCTGGGGGGGGGGGGCACCGTGTCATCGGGCCCAGCTTGGAAGAGGGGCCAGTCCTAGGGCAGTGCTCATTCTGGGTGCGGCAGTGGTGGTTGGCCCCTTGTGTGTTCTGGGGGCTTATAAGCTTGGACGTGAGTGACGTGCCTCTTTGGGGTCCGCACGGCTGGGCCCTGCCGGGCAAGACCCTGGATGATCAGGACCGGGACCGTCTGGGGCAGCTTCCGTGCTGGGCGGGTCCTTGGCATTCGGAGGACAGGAGGTCGGAGGCTGCTGTGGCCCGGGCCCTGTGTGGACACCCACGGGGCCCCTCGGGGCCCAGGAGAGCAGGAGCAACAGGCACTGTGCCCGCCGCAGCGAGCGCACGGCCTCCTGGCAGTGGTGGACCATCGATCTGCACGGGAAATTGCATCTTGAGGGGAACCAGCTTGAGCCCCTGGGGGGGCCACTTGGAGCCAGGCCGTGAGCTGGTGGGCGGTGCTGCTCTGAGAGCTCCACTGGCAGCCCCCGCTGGCAGGAAGGGGTGGGCCTCAGGGGTGCCTGGGAGGACACAGGGCCCCTGGTCTTTCACCTTTGGCTTGTTTTCTTTGGAGTGGGAGTAGGGTGGGGGAGGGGATGTCCTGGGTTCCTCTTGGGCCCTGGCAGCAGGTAACCTAGGCCAACCGGGAAGCCACAGACACACCTGGGAAGGTAGACTCGAGGTCAGATGCAGCCATTGGGCAGGGGAGGGGGACTCGGCTGTGTGCCCGCTGCACGCAGTGTCTGATGTGAACGCCTCACCACCGGCCTGCCCGCACCAGGGAGCTCCGGACCGGGTGATTGCACGGGCAGCCTCCCCTGCCCGCGGCCACCGGCCCACCTGCGGCCAGAGACCGAGCTCAAGACCCACCTCCGCACCTTCTCAAGCAGCTGGTGCCAAGGATGAGTCCTCCGGGTGCCCTCCAGGCTGGCCTGGAGTTTGTTTTCGGGTCAAGGTTGGGGTCACAGTCCAGGGCCGCCTGCCTGCCTGCCTGGGGCTCCCCGCTCCCTGACTTACACGAGCGGCAGCCCAGACCTGGGCCTGCCTCCGCTGCGTCTGGTCCTCCCCAGGCCTGGCCCGCACCCCGTCCTTAGGAAGGAGCTCCGTGGAACCCCTTGTTTTTCCAGCCCCGCTGTTTCCACACAGAGCCCGCCTTCCCCCAGCCCCATGGCCAGGCCCTCGGGTGTGGGTGCGCTGCACAGACAGGCTGCCCAGGGGCAGAGGGCGGGTGTGCGCGCGGCAGGAGAGTCATGCAGCCAGGCAGGCGGCTCCACTCACTGCCTGCGGGGCTTGTGCACGGGCGGACGCTCGGCCCCCAGGTTTCCAGCCTGTGCGGCCGAGAGGGAGTGAGGTCTCCAGTGTGCACGGGAGGCACGGATGTCCCCTGTCCTTGGCCCGGGCCATGACTGCCCACCCTGGCCCCCCTTCTGAGCACCCCCCACAGGGGCCCCCCAGGCCAGCATCGCTCGCCCGGCCCCATCCCAAGTGGCCGTCTCGGCCGCCACCACTTCCCGCTCCTCCCCCCGTCCCACAGACAAGACGCAGGGAGCCGTGTGTTCCTTTCCTTAGCGGGTTTAATCCGAGCAGAACGGCAGGAGAGGCTGTTCTGGTGCTCGGCCCACAGCAGGCGAGAGAAGGGCAGAGCTGAGGGGGACTTCCCGGCAGAGTGCACTCCAGAGAGGTGGAGGCTGTTCCAGATGAGGTGCTCACCCCCGCTGCCCCCGCCCAGGCTCTGCTGTGGGGGCACGGCCCTGGGCCGAGGCCAGCAGGCCTTCGTCTTGCAGGCCCAGCTGTGGTCTCGCTGGCTGCAGCAGGGAGGAGCCTGGAGGGTGTCCAGGGGAGACTCCCAAGGGCAGGAATGGAGGAGCCCGGGGTGGCTGCGTGTCCAGAGGTGACGGTGGCCTGGCTCTGACACGAGCCCTCGCTCTGTAGGGCAGGACTGTGGGGGCCGCAGAGCTGGCCTTTAGGTCCAGGGTGGGGCGAGGCCCCTCCTTGACACTGTGCTCCTCAAGCTCCCGGGTGTGGTGGGGACTCGTCGTCCTGGCGACAGAATAGAGAGGGTCCACGGAGGCCTCGGGGCTGAAAAGATGAAAATCAGATCAGCCAAGGCCCTGCCACCTCCCTGAGCCAGTAACCCGCTATCAAGTAAGAAAAAGCTCCCTGCCCACCAGAGAGCGGTCCCCAGCTTCTCTCCTTCCCCCAGGGCTCGGGACCTGAACGCTCGCTTGGGCAGCGCCGTGGGGCGCGGGGAGCGGGCCTGCGAGTGTGGCGAGCTCTGAGCAGGCACGGGCCCGTGTGGAGGGCCCTGTGAGCCTGCTCTCCGGCTCCGGTGCCGGCAGCTCGGCTCTTGTGACTCTGGCCTCCGCACCACGAGCGCAGGGGTGGGGGAGGCGGGCCCACGGGGAGGCTGGGTCTCTGGGCTCCCGGGCTTGAGGCTCTGGGCTGCCCAGGGTTCCTGGCCAGGGGATCGGTGAGCCCTGGGCCCCAGGCTGCAGACCCCCCGGGACCTGGGTCTCAGCTGGGGGTTCACGGAGTCTGAGTCAGGCTGCCAGGTGGACAGGCAAGCCCTGTGGGCTCGGAGGAGCTGGGGAAGCAGGGTCTGTCTCCAGGTGGCGACCCCACACTCAGGCTAATGGCCCTGGACAGCTGGGCTGGAGTGTGCAGTCTGGACAAGGCCTTGTCTCCCTGCCCTTGGCCTTTGGTCAGGTGTAGCTTCTGCCAACCCCGGAGGCAGGAGGCCCCTCCACGCCTGGCAAGGGCGGTGGGGAGCACGGGCTGGTAACGGTGTCTCCTTGGTCTCAGCGAGGCTGCTGTCACCGGGTCCGGCCTGGGGTGCAAGCCACACGGGGGGCCGAGGCCCTAACTTCCTCTCTTCCCACTCTGCCCAGAACCGGGGGCGGCTGGCAGATAAGAGGACAGTCGCCCTGCCCCCTGCTCGGGCCCTGAAGAAAGAGCTGACCCCCAGCTTCTCAGCCAGTGATGGCGACAGCGACGGGAGTGGGCCGGCCTGTGGGCGGCGGCCAGGCTTGAAGCAGGAGGACGACCCCCACGTCCGTATCATGAAGAGAAGGTACCTCTGCTGAGGCCCTGGGCGCGGTGGGCACACGGGCACGGGTGCGGGCGGGACCCCGGGTGGGTCTCCGGGCAGCGGAAGGCCAGTGCAGGCCTGGAGGGGAGCCCTCTGCCCGAGTTTGGCTTGTTGTGCCTCAGCTGACACAAAGCCCGGAGCCCCGGGACATGCCAGCCCCTCCACTGCACAGAGAGGCCCCCCTTGCCCCCACCTGGGGATGGAGAGCCAGGACTGGGGAGCAGGGACCCCCGCGGTGGTTCCTGCCATGACCAGAGCGAGGGGTCCTGGGGAGGGGCAGAGTTGCTAGGTGTGGGGGAGGGAGGAAGGGGGCTCGGCCCGCGGCTGGGAGAGCAGCCACCAGTGAGACTCGGGCGCGGGTGGGGGAGAAGGTGAGGCCTGGGGAGCTGGGCTGACCCCCCGGCAGCAGCCCCCAGACACTCGTGACCTGGCAGGTGGCAGCTCTGCCGGGGGCTCCAGGCTGGGGCCCCCCTTCCCGACCTCCCACCTCTCCCCCCACCCCCACATCAGAGAGCTTCCTCTGGCCACTCACCTCGGTGTCCCCGAGTCCGTGCGTCTCTCCGTCCAGCACTGGGGACGCACTCCCAGAATTCCCAGGCCTTCACCACCTTCCAGGCCCTCCGACCCCAGGAGCCCCCGGCTCCCTCTGCCTGGCCCAGAGCCACTCCTGCCGAGGAGAAGCAGCTGAGGTCCCGGGTCCTCTCGGGGACCCCGCCGGGGCAGGCGCGAGGGCACCAGGCGGAGCCCTTTCCTCGCCTGACCTCCTGTCCCGCCGCCTTGCCCGCCTGGGCTGTGCAGCGGTCACTCTTGGAGTGCCAGCTGGCCACAGCTGGGACCCCGGGCCCCACGCCTGGGCTAACACCCCAGCCGTGGGTCCTGGCCGTGGGGTCACTCCTCGGCCTGGTCCCAGCCCAGCCGGGGCAGCTCTAACCGCCAGGAATTCGGTTTGGTCGCCCGAGGGGCCTGTGGAGGGAGCAGCAGCCCCTGCCGCCGCTCCACGCGAGGGCCCCTCTGGGCCCTGGAGGGGAGTCATGGTGGCCTCAGATCCCAGCTTCCTTTGCTTTCCTGTGCTGAGGTCAGGGGCCGGCTGCCGCCCCAGGGCCTGTCCTGGTGGCCGCCGGCGGCAGTCAAACTCGCACCAGATGGCGCTGGAGACAGGCCTGAGCCGGCCCGTCCCTCTGGGGCTGGAGCTCCGGGGCGGATGCGGGGCACGCCGCACAGATGCCCCGCTCGCTGTCCAGGTGCCGGTGCCGAGGCCAAGCTGACTCTCCGCCTCTCCCCTCGCAGAGTCCACACCCACTGGGACGTGAACATCTCCTTCCGAGAGACGTCCTGCAGGTGGGTGAGCGCGGGACCGGGCCTCCCCACACGTACGAGTCTGCTTCCGAATCCCCCGGCCTCCCGCCCTCCCTCCCCCCGTTTGTCTGTGGTCCTTCTGTCTGTCTGTCTGTCCACATGGGCCTGGACCTTGGCATCAGCACGGAGCCGGGGATGCTGGGCAACCCGACCCTGGAGCCTCACTCCCCTCCCACATGGCACTGGCCACGTGAGCCCATCCACCCAGAGAAGAGGCCACGAACTCCCCCTCCCACCCTCCCAGAGGCCCCCGAGGCCGTTAGGGTGGTGATGTGCGAGTAGGGTCTTGAAGGATGCATAGGAGTTCGCCAGGGACGGGTGCCTGTAAACACTGAGCAATGGGGGAGGGACAGGTGGGAGGGGAGGCCTGCAAGTCTGGCGCGAGTGGATGCTGAAAAGCTCTGGATGCAGGGTCCCTTGGGCCTTGTCCCCCAGGCAGTGGGGAGCCACCCAAAGCTCTTGAGCAGCAGAGTGACCAGGTGCATGTTCTGAAAAGGTCCTCTGGAAGCCCCGCCCAGCAGGTGGGGGTTTGCTGAGCCCATAGTGATTTAAGGTTGTGGAAGCAGAGTGGAGGGAGGGACGAGTGAGGGAACCAGAGAGGAGGTTAGGGACACGAGGGCGACCCAGGTTTCTGGCTCCAGAGGGGCAAGGGGTGGTCAGTCTGTGGGCAGAGCCCAGGCTGCGGCTCCGGGCCAGTGGGGTCAAGTCTCGCCCCAGGCTTCTGGGGCAGCCGCAGGAAGGGCCAGCGGGCCCCGGTGGGAGGTGCCCCCACTCCCAGCCCGGCCTGTGCCCGGTGGGCTAGTGCTTCTCTCTGAGACGGTAGGTCCTAGAGCCGGGTCACGATGAAAACGTCTTCAAACTCACTTCTGCCTCACGGGGAAGTGGCCCGCTCGGCTGGTCACAGTTCGAACCTCCGTGGACCCTGGTGACACTTCACGAGGCTAGTTCTTGGGACTCTCCAGGACAGCTTTGTCTGCGCAGCCCGCAGGGAACCCAGGGGCGCCCCTTCCAGGTCGGACTCTGCCTGCAGCCCCCCAGGACGTGGGAGAGGGTGGGGAGCTGGGCCACAGGCCCTAGAAGCAGCCGGGATGATTTTTGGGGTCTCAGCACAGGGGTGGTGGGGGCGTGGCTCAGAGGACCTTCCCGTCTGCCCCCACCCCGCCCCCGTGCAGCACCGGCTGCCTCACACTGCCCACGCCGCTCTGTCCTCCTGTCTCCAGGCTCCTGTCTATCCTCCAGGCTCTGTCCACCTGTCTGTTCACACCACGGTCGCTTTGTCCTTCTCCATGTCGGTCCGTCCATCTGACTCCGTCATCTGTCTTCATCTGTCTGTTTGCTGTCTGTCTGTCTGTTCACCCCTGTCCCTCTGTCCGTCTGACTCCACAGGGGACCAGCCCACGCATCCCCTGCCCTGTGGGAGACCCTGACCTGGCCAGGAGACGGGAGAGGGCTGGGCAGTGTGGTGGTCGCTGAGGGAACTTGTCAGAGCCCAGGGCCCCCCAGAAGGGCTGGGGCCCAAGGGGTCCCTCTGCCTCCAGCCTCCGAGCACGCCCTCCCCCGCAGCCCTCCCCTCTCGCGTGTGTTCACGGCTTGAGGGAGAACCCCGGGCCCCGGAGCCAGGCACAGGGTTCACGAGTCATCGGCCGAGTGAGTGCGCGGCTGCTTTGTGGCTTTTACTCGGTGTCGTTCGTTCAGTGAGTGGCCGCAGCAGGTTTTCCAGGACAGAGAGGGGCTGTCTTGGGGCCTGTGGGGCACACCCCAGGGCAGAGAGCCGGGCGTCCTGGTTCCCATTAGGCACCCCCTCCCCGGGGCTGCCGTGCCCCCCGCCAGAGCGTGGGAGAGCCGGTGGCTGCGGGGGAGGGGGGGCAGGACCAACCGGGGTCCTGGCCTCACCCGCTCAGTCACCTCCTGCAGCAGCCCTCGGGACCCAGACAGGGGTCCCTCCAAGGGCGCCCTCTAGACAGCCTTGGCCCTGCCTCTAGGCCCCCACCCCCCGCCCCGGTGCTGGGACGGCAGTCTGACCCCCCCACCAGAGTCGATGAGGATGAGAGGCAAGGTGGATGGGCTGCCGGGTAGTCACCTGCAGTCCCCCTCCCCCCCGCCCCGCCCCCCCCAGCGGCATGGGGCATCTCCTTTCCTGGGGGCGGGGGGCGGCCCCAACCCTGGAGCCTCTGCTGCTGAGACTGATCTGCTTAGGGGCCAGCCCCGGATTAGCCTGCTCCAGCGCCCAGGCCCCGGGGGCGGGGGCTATTTAATGGGGTTTAGGGTTGGTCCCCAGGTCACTCCGTGGAGGCCCCGCTGCGGTGGCCCAGCCCCAAGGCTGCTGTCACAGGTGGGCCAGGGAGCAAGGGAGCTGGGGGGGCTGGTCCCCTGCTGTGTCTCCTCTGTCCTGTCCTAACTTCCTGCTGCTTAAGGCTTCCTCTGCCAGGGTCCAGGGCCCTTCTCTGCTGATGAATCAGTGGGGTGTCATCCTGGGGTCCCTCACTTCCTCTTCTCTCCGGGGTTCTGCGACGCAGGGTGGAGCTGATACAGCGGGAGCAGAAATGAGGGGACAAAAGAGTTCAGTGCGTTTCTACTCCAGCTCCCCTGCTTCCCGCCCAGCCCGGCCCGTGGTGTGTCTGCCCGTCCACAGGGCTGCGGCCCCCGGGAGTGGGTGCACCCTGTGTGTGGTGAACGTGCCTCTCCTTGGCTCCTGGGCTTGGCTCGGACCCTTGGCCTCCTCACGGGAAGACAGTGGGGTCCATGGCTGGTGGGAAGTTCCAGGTGGAACAGCACAGGTGACGGTCTCGCCGCTGCAGCGGCACAGCTGTGGGCACAGCCGGAGTGAGGCAGTGTGTTGGCGCCGGGCTCCCTGGGGCTGGCGCACCGCCTGGTGGGTGCCCAGCTGCCCCCCAGAGGGCACAGCAAAGCTGCACGGACCCTCCGCCGTGCAGACCGTCCAGGGGCGGCCCTGGGGTCCGAGGGCAAGTCCCCTGCCCTGGGTGGGAGCCGCCCCGGGGACACTCCCACGTGGCGTCCCAGGCCGCACTCAGATGTTGTGCCCTGGTGCCGCACTCGCCCGCACTCAGGCTCTGCCAGGCGCCCCTCGCGCCCAAGGCTGGGCGCCTGGCCTCACGGGCTCTCGCCTTCCCTCTCTTGGTCGCTGCAGCCAAGACAGCGACCTCCCCACCCTCATCTCCAGCCTGCACCGCAGCAGCCACCTCGTGATGCCCGAGCACCAGAGCCGCTGTGAGTTCCAGGGAGGCGGCGTGGAGATAGGCCTGGGCAGCACAGGTGAGGAGCCCGGGGGGGGCCAGGACGGGGCCGGGGTCGGGGCCGGGGCTGCAGCAGCCGGGCCTGAGCAAGGCCCATGTTGCGCCCCCCCAGCGTCTGCTCAGCAGCGCTGGACGCCGCCCCCAGCGTCCTTGGCAGGCGGCCAGGGAGGCCGGCAGAGGAGGCGGGAGGTGGCGAGGCCGGCTGTCCCCTGGGGCTCCCTGTGACGGTAATTGTGTTAATCCCGGCCAGCCGGGCAGACGGGGGCGGAGGCGGCGGCTCCACGGTGGCTGCTGCTGGGTGGGCTTTCGGGCCCCGGGCTCCTGTCGCCCCTGCTCACGGGGGCAGCCGCGGGACGGCCATGGGCACACAGGCCTCGTGGAGGCCCAGGGACGCACACCCGAGCTCGACACGGAGCGCCTGCCCACCCGGCAGAGCACAGGGGTCCTGCCCCCCCCCCTCAAGGGGCAGCTCGGGGACCTGGGTCCTCCCCAGAGGACGTGGCGGTGGGCAGTGGGGACAGTCCAGTGTCGGCGGAGGCCCTGCCGTCCCAGGAGCCCTGGGCACCCCGCGCCCCCCAGGCCCCCCCATCGGTGCCCCCCAGGCCTGCCTGCGCCTGGGAAGGCCCTGTGGGTGGGGGTGGGGGCTGCTTCTGGAGCCCGGTTGGAGGCAGCTGAGCCGGCGGCTGATAAAACCTAATTGCCCCATCGATCGGGCGCGGCCCCGGGAGCCCCGCGATGATTGAGATATTTGGAGGCAGCAGGCCCCCCCCTGCCGCCTGCGCCCGGCCCCCCGCCGCCGCGGGCTGTGCCTGGCCCTCCGCACGGGGCCCCTGCCAGGACGTCCCCACGCTCACTTTGTGCAGAGGTCGCACTTGAAGTGTCACCTGCACCCCGGGTCCAGGCTTCATCAGGGTCTCGACCTCTCCTCGGGGCTGCAGTGCCCCTCGGCCTCCCCGTTGCTCCTGTGGCCCTGGGGTGGGGCCATCGGCCTGTGTTCGCCTGGGCCTCCCCAGGGGCCACGAGCTAGTCCCACCCCACGGCCCGGCCCCTGAGCAGGAGCCGGATGGTCGGGAGGTCTGAGGACCCAGGGGGGTCTGGGCGGCGCCCTGTGGTGTGTCTGCCCCTGGCTGCCCAGTGCGTCCCTGTGTGGGGTGGCTCTCATCTAGGGCCGGTCACCACAGGGCCCCTGGCAGGGCCCGGCTGCAGCCACTGCTTGGGTTTCCCTAGGGGCCCCTCCCACCCCCAACAGAAAGGGGAAGGGGTTCCCCACAGTGGAAAACGGGACACGGGTCCCCAGGAGGCGAGAGCCGTGGTTTATTTGCTAACCCTTGAAGGGCGCGTGTGCAGCGGGTGTGCACCCAGCCCAGGCCCAGCCCAGGCCTGGCACGGCGTGTCCTCAGGCTCTCCCGCACGGGACCCTGAGGCCACCGGGCTGTCAGTGTCCACTTGGGCTTCCTCGGGGCCTCGTGCTGGTTGTGCCCCATCCTGCCAGGCCCTGAGGTAGGGGTGGGGCAGGCCTGGGCCCAGCCTCAGGCCGGTGGCAGCAAGGTGGCCAAGATCAATAAGTTATTAGCACCATTCTGTCGGCTGTAAAGTGGAGATTGATCGCGCTGCACTTCCCGGGCTGATAAAAATGACAGATTAAGGGAACAAGGAAAAGGAATTAGGCTCCAGAGCTAATGGCAGAGCCCCCTCACTGAGGTGTCATGGTGGCCCTGGGTCACAGAGGGGGCAGCTCCTGCACCCCAGCACCGCTGGGCCCGGGAGAGCAGGGCCACGGCCAAGCTGTCCAGCAGAGGCCCCAGACCTTGGGCACCGGCCGGCCTGCCGTCAGGCGCCGGGGGCTGGGTTGCAGCGGGCTGGCTCAGGGATGCGGATGAGTGTGGTCTGGGCCTGGGGCCTGAGACAGGACTTCACGGAGTGGTGGGGCGGGGCTGGCCACGTGTGGGGGGCAGGAGTGCTAAGCACATCGGAGGCGGCTACCCAGGGTGTCCTCAGCAGCTCAGAGCCTGCTGGGCAGGTGGGCAGGTGTGTGGCAGGCAAAGCCGGGGTGCTCGCTTCGGCCTTCCGGGGGCAGCGAGAGGTGTGGCCTGGGTGGGGGGCCTGGGGGTACTGCACACAGCAGGTGCACCAGACCTTGGGGGCCTTGAGGTGGCCTTTGAGGTGACTCTACCGTCCCCCAGGTGACGTGTTGGGCAAGAGGCTGGGCCGCTCCCCCCACATCAGCACCGACTGCCCCTTGGAGAAGAAGGCTCGAAGCAAGTCCCCCCAAGGTGGGAGCTGGGGGAGGGGGAGGGGGGTGTGACTCAGACCCTCTGCAGGGTGGGGTCCGCCCATCAGCCAGTTGTGAGAGGGGAGGCAGGGCCTGAGGAAGGTGTCTGAGGACGACCCCTCCCCGTGTGCCCCCCCAAAGCAGAGACTCTGTTGCTGCCGGAACTGGGGCCCGGCATGGCCCCGGAGGATCACTACCGCCGGCTGGTGTCCGCGCTGAGCGAGGCCGGCACCTTCGAGGACCCGCAGCGGCTCTACCACCTGGGCCTCCCCGGCCATGGTAGGTGCCCCCCACCCCCAAGGGCCCGCCCGCGGATGCTGGGTCCCCCCGAAAAGAAACCCTGGGGCCTGTGCTGCCGACGGCAAGGCTGGGCTTGGCCGCCACAGGCGAGCTCCTTGCAGGTGGGCAGCGCCCCGACTCTCTCCTCCTGCCCTGAGCAGGCCCACCACCAACAGGCCCCCTGTGGCTCCACCCCCAGGGTTCCCCACACAGCAGGGCCACCCCCCAGTCGCCAGGCGCAGGGAGTGTCGTTTCACAGGTGAGGACACAGTCTCAGTGAGCCCTGGCGGGGTGGGGCTGATGCCCTGCACCTGGGACCGGGCCCTGCAGCACCTCCCACGCCAGCTCCAGGGTATGACAGGGTCAGGCACCTCCAGGGCACCTGAGGGAGGCCCCAGAGGATGGGGCCGTCAGCCCCAGAGCGGCCGGCGGGAAGGCAGGGTGAGCAGCAGCTGGGATTTGGCCACCCGGACCCCACTGGTAGTGGGAAGCGCAGCTGGAGGCTGGGTCCCTGGCCCACCCTGCTCCCCACCCTGTGTACCGCTCTGGCCATCTGCCCATCCCGCCCCTGCGGGAAGCTTGGAAGTCCCGCCCACCATCTCAGGGCCACACTTCCGAGCCCTGCCCCTCTGCACCCCGACCTGGCAAACCCCAGCCCCTAGTCTGAGGGAGCTTGGCTTTTCTGGATGGAGGTGGGTGCGGGGGCGCTGGGAGCGGGGGCAGGATTTCCCCCCCTCCTCACACAAGGCCCTGTCCCCCAGGGCAGTCAGGCACCGAGAGCCTGAATTATTCACCAAATGTTAATAATTTAAAAATCTTCCTTTTTAATTGCTTTCCCTGCCCTGCCTGGGGCCGGCTCCGCCGGCCTGCGCGGGGGAGGGGGCGCGGGCCGCCGGGGAGCAGCGCCGGGAGCTGGGCTGTCAATCACGGCCCGCGCCGCCACCCCCGCTGCGGAGCCGACTGTAAATAACCTAGGCCGCCGGCGCGCGCGGGGGCGCGGGGGCCCCGCTGGGATCGATGCAGGCGGCCGCGCCGGCTGGGCTCTGCGGGCTGGCACCCGGCCCGGGCAGGACCCACCTCCGCTTTTCGGGTAATTAATTTATAAACAGGCGGCGGCGGGGGCCTGCACAAATGGGGGACCGCGGGGGGACTCGGAGGCCCGGCCCTAAGCAGGCTGGAGGGAGCCGGATGGGTAGCAGAGCGCATCAGAGCACGGATGGAGTGCGCACCGCCTGCCACCTCGGAGCCAGTCGCCTGGGCAGCCTCCAACCTGGACTCTGGTCGCACTGCCCAGCCCCCTCCCCTCGGGGCTCCCGTAGCCTTAGTCTCCACGCCTTCGGAGCTGTCGATATCAACCTTCATGCACCACCAGCTTCCCCTGCCTGCTGGGTTTCCCCTCCTTCCCACCGCATTTTGCTTACTAACGTGCGGATATCCCTTTCAAATGCTCCCCTGGCCCCCCTCCCAAGACAGATGGGTGCCTCCCGCCCCCACCCCGGCGTCCTCTAGCTTGTCGCCCTCCGATGATGTGTCCTCTGGCCTTCTGTGTCTCTGTCCCAGGGAACAACCAGCAGCGTCAGTGTGAGGGCGGCCTCTCGCCGGTCCTGGGCTCCTTGGTGCCCTTGGCCAGTGCCCTGTGTTCTCAGTCTCAGGGTGGGGCGAGTCAGAGCCCGGGGGAGCCTGGCCTCGGGTCACTGCTGTTGTCTTCTCCCCCACTCCAGATCTCCTGAGGGTCCGGCAGGAGGTGGCTGCTGCAGCTGCGAGGAGCCCCAGTGGCCTGGAAGCCCACCTGCCCTCATCCACGCCAGGTCAACGTCGGAAGCAGGGCCTCGCTCAGCACCGAGAGGGCCCCGCTCCAGCTGGCACCCCGTCTTTCTCAGAGAGGTATTGGGGTGCCTGCCTCTCGGAGAGGCGCCCATAGTCACTGTGCTGGCTTCTGGGGTGTGGACACTCACTGCCTGGTCTCTGCAGGTCGGGCCCACACTGGTCAGCCGTTCTGACCTCACACTCCCGGCTCCCACCCCAGCCACACCCCCGTGGGTGCCGCCTGGGCCGGGCCCTGGGCTGTGGCCTGCAGTGCAGAAGAGACCTGATTCTCCCACTGAGCTGGGCAGAGGCCCAGGAAAGCAGTCCTGGGGTGGGATGCCTGGAGGTGACTTTCCCTCTGGCTGGAGTGTTAGGGGCAAGATTCCCTTTTCACGGAGTAGCTGTGGGGCCCGCTGAATCCAGGTGCCCCGAGAAAGCTGGGGGCTTTGCTCCTCCCACATGTAGGTGAGGGCGGTTGGTGCAGACTAGGGGAGTCCATGGGGAGGGTGGTGTGGGGGCGCAGAAGGCAGAGGAGGGGAGCGGCCAGAGGTCTGGAAACCGAAAGTCAGAGGCCCCCCGCCCCCAGCAGCTCCCAGTCAGACCCGGGAGCCTTCTGGCGGCACAGACGGGCCTGTCGCGGCCAGGAGACCCCACGAAGGGGCGGGGGGCTGGTAGATCGGCCGAGGCCAAGGAGCGAGCGAGTTAGGGGCGGGAAGAGCTGCAACGGCTCTCAGCCTGAGCTGCCGGCCGCCACAGCACGTCCCCCGTCCCCCAGCAACGCCGCGACCCCCGCCTCAGAGCGCTGTCTGCAGCCGCTTCCCGGATCGCAGCTAATTGCGCCCCGCCCCCGGCCGCGCCGGGTCCGGGGTAGACGGGGAGGCGGGGGTCCCGGCGCGCCCCGCAGTAATTACCGCTGCAGTCGCCGCCGCCCGCCGGGTCAGCGCCTCCGCGCCGCCGCCGAGATTAATTGGCGCCGCCAGCGGGGGCCGGAGGGGGGGAGGCGGGCGGGGGCGGTGCTCGACCCGAAGCTGAACGAGCGGCGCTTCGACCGCCCGCGGGGCCGGCAATTAGCTGTGGCGGCCGGAGTGGGGGCCGGGGGGCGGGGCGGGCGGTTCCGGGAATGGAGGGGGCGCGCGGCGCTCACCACCCTGCTGTCCACAGGGAACTGTCACAGCCGGCCCCCTTGCTGTCGTCCCAGAATGCCCCGCACATCGCCCTGGGCCCCCACCTCAGGCCTCCCTTTTTGGGGGTGCCCTCGGCTCTATGCCAGACCCCAGGTGAGGAGTGGGCGGTGATCGAGCCCTTTGTGTCCTGGGAATCTCATGCGTGCGGGCGGGGGGGGCACCCCCCACCCCCCACCCTGGGTTTGCCTGTGTCTGGCTGGCGCCCACGAGTGTTCCCGTAGGACCCGCCCCTGCCAAGGAGAGACGGCGCAGGGAGGGGGCGCTTGGGTGGTGTTGGACCACTGGACCACCTGGCTTTGTGGTTTGTCCCCTCCCCCCCAGGTTTCGGCTTCCTGCCCCCTGCCCAGGCGGAGATGCTCGCCCGGCAGCAGGAGCTCCTGCGGAAGCAGAACCTGGCCCGGTAGGTGATACGGTGACCGGAGGGGGAGGCGGCAGCACCGCCGAGCCGGCTGACCCTCTGTCCCCTGCGTGCCGGGTCCAGGCTGGAGCTGTCGGCGGAGCTGCTGCGTCACAAGGAACTGGAGAGCGCACCCCGGCCGCAGCTGCTGGCGCCGGAGGCCACGCTGCGCCCGCCCAGCGGCGCCGAGGAGCCGCAGCGGCGCGGGGCCCTGCTGGTGCTGAGACACAGCTCCGCGCCGGCGCTGGGTCTGCCGCCGCAGGGACCGCCGGGCCCGGGCCCCCCCACCCCGCCCCGGGAGCCCTCCCGCCGAGCCCCTCGAAAGGGGGGCTCCAGCCCTGCCTCAGCCCCGCCTAGCGAGCCCAAGGAGCCTGCTGGGACTGGGCTCTGGGCGCAAGATGGCTCTGAAGATGAGCCCCCCAAAGACTCCGACGGAGAGGATCTCGAGACGGTGGCTGTTGGGGGCCAGGGCCCCGCCCCCGGCCCAGCCCTGACTGGAGGGGCCAGCTCAGAGGGGAAGGGGCTTCTCTCAGGGTCCATGCTGCCCCCTCCACTGCCCCTGGGCTTGCCCTACGTCGGCCCCTACTTCCACACAGGTGGGCACCCCCCATGCTTCAGATCCCTCCGTGGGGGTGGGAGACCCGTGCCCCCACCCCCGCTCAGGCTGCCCAGGGGAAGGAAACCCCATTAGTCATGGGCAGACAGCTCTAAGGACCAAGGTCAGCAGACGGGCAGGAGCCTCAGAAGAGGCCCCAGAGTCCCAGTGACAGTAACACCCGCTCCCAACCAGGCACCTCGGGGGGATTCTTCACGGAGGGGGAGGAGGCCGTGGCCCCTGAGGACATCAGCAAGTGGACCGTGGACGACGTCTGCAGCTTTGTGGGCAGCCTGTCCGGCTGCGGGGAATACGCACCGGTGAGAGGGACACCGGCTCAATGAGGCCCCAAGTGCCCCCCCCAGGACTCTCCTCACCACAACACCCCTTCTCAGAGGGTGGGGGGCATTGCTGCATGGTACCACCCACACGTCAGTGCTGGGTCTCCCACCGGGCACGCACCCCCCTCAAGCTGCACGGGCAACCCCTTGCACCTCTAGCCTCTGGGCAGCCAGCCCACACCAGCTGCGGCTGGGCCAGGGGCCGACCCCACAGGGCGGGCGGTGCAGTCTGGCACTCAGGCCCTGACAGGCCCCCACCCCACACCAGGTCTTCAGAGAGCAGGGCATCGACGGGGAGACCCTGCCCCTGCTGACGGAGGAGCACCTCCTCACCACCATGGGGCTGAAGCTGGGGCCCGCCCTCAAAATCCGGGCGCAGGTGAGTGCCACAGGGAAGGGGGGGGCGGTCTCCACAAGGGACAGGCAGACCTCAGCGCTTCCGGGCTGCAGACCCCCACCCAGGCCCGTCTCTCCACAGGTGGCCAAGCGCCTGGGCAGAGTCTTCTACATGGCCAGCTTCCCTGTGGCTTTGCCGCTGCAGCCACCAGCCCTGCGGGCCCTGGAGCGGGAGCCCACCTCAGGGGAGCAGCCTCCGTCCCCAGCAGTGGCACCCTCGCCCTATGGGGCAGGGCACCCCCCTGCTGGCCAAGCCTCACCTGAGCCAGAGAACGGGGCAATGGCTCTGCTCCCGGGGCCCGTGGACCCCTCCCAGCCTCTCTGCTGAGTTGGGGGGTGGGCTGCTCAGGCCCCCTGCCTATCAGTGCCAGCTGCTGCCAAGCAAAGGCTCCTCCCCCACAGCTTATTTTCCTTTGGTTTTGGAAGCAAAAACACAGAAACTCTGAAAGGGAAACACATGACTCAAGAGGAAAGGAACGTGTTTCCAAAGACTCGGGGGTGCTGGTGGAGCCTGGTGCAGGATCCAAGCCCGGGCGCCGCAGAGAAACCAAAGACGTGCGGCTGTGCTGGCCCTGGCCCGGCTCCCTCTGGACCTGGGACCGTGGGGCGGGCTTCCAGCACCCTGACCTCAGGCCGGAGGGACATGCCGCAGTGGGCGGGGGCCGCAGTGGGCGGGGGCCGCAGTGCAGGTGCCAGTCCCCAAGGACGCCACTTCAGGGATCAGCACAGCGCTCGATACTGTCTGGTCTTCTATGTTGTAAAAATAAAGCTCCATCCAGGATCTGCTGTCCTTCCCCTGCACAGGCACCGACCCAAGGCCTCTGGGCAGCTGCAGGCCCGTGGCAGAGATGGGGCGGGCGGGCAGGCTGCCCCCGCAGCCCCAGGCGGTGGCCCTCAGTCCTCCTCTGAGAGCTGTAGGTCCTGCAGCTCGTCCTCCGGCCCCTGGGCCAGCAGCCGCCACAGCTCCCGGGGGGCCAGCCCCGCCTCTTCATCTGGGCCTCCATCTGCAGGGAGACACGCAGGCTACATAAATTCTGCTTTATCAGGAAGAAGCTGGCCTTGGGGGTTACTCATCACTAATTAATCAACACTAATTAATTTATCGGTGCCGCTGCTGCTGGTTTCCAGAGCCAGCAGGATGGAGCAGCTGGCCTGGCATCCCCCAGGGAGGCGCCTCGGGCCCCACAGACACAGCACCCTCACCCCAGGACCCCTCACCCTCTGAGCTGCTGGCCTCTTCTTGGCCGCTGCTGCTGCTGCTGCCGTCCTCTTCATCCTCTTCATCCTCCTCTACCTCCTGCTGAGCTCCAGGGGACCCGGATGCACCTGGGGACCAAGGGGGAGGGCCTGTGGGACTGGGCCACCAGCACATGCGTGGGGGAAACAGCTGGGCTCACAGCCCTGCCCCCCCCCCCCCAGGAGTCGGATCTGCCCTGGGAAGGGTGGGGGAAGGCCCGGGGACACGCTTCCCGTTCCAGGAGGTCCCACATCAAAGCAAGCAAAGTGGCCAATGGGAGCTGAGGTGGGAGTGGGTGCCCCTCCTTTGGCTCCTGGAGGTGCAAGGGACCCCTTCCCGGCCAGCCTGCCCAGCCTCCGGGCCCCCACCTCGTTGCTCTGAGAAGCCTGCAGCTTCGTCCTCGTCACTGTCCAGGTCAAAGAGGTCCTTGAATTCAGCCCTGTCCTCCTCCTTCCTGTCCCCCAGCTTCCGCCGCTTTATCTCGGGGAAGTTCAGGTCTTCCAGCTGGAAGGCCCCAGGACAGGAGCAGCAGGTGAGGTTGTGCGGGGAGCCCCCAGTGTACAGCTGAGGCCCTAGCCCCAGAGACAGTTTCCACCCAAACTCGGTGTCTTGGTCCCTTCCCTTCACCCCACACGAAACCCCAGCCAAAGGCAGGCCTTCGAGTGCCATCCAAGTCACAGCCACTTCCTTCAGAGCAGCCACAGCCCCAACCGCCCTTGCACATACCCCCAGCGGCCCCCTCCCAGCCCATCTCCAAGCTGCAGCCGAGGGGCCAGGTCCTCCTCCCGGAACAACGCGCCAGGTATGCCGGGCCCCAACACCCCGCCAGCCCGCACCCGCTCTTTGCCACTGATCTCCAGCTGGATCTCGCGGTCCCTCAGCTTCCGCCACTGGCTGTAGTACTTGGTGAGCGGGGTGCCCTCCTTGCGGGCCTGCTGCTCCCAGGCATCCTGTCGGGGAGGGCCGGGTCACATCCCGCCCGGGCGAGCCCCAAACCCCGGCCCCACACTGGCCAGCGCCCTCGCCACTGACCACCGCCTGCCGGTTGGCCACGCCAAAGGAGGCCCGCTGGCGGAGGCTGCAGATGTACTCGGAGTTCTCCTGCACCTTCTCGAGCAGCTGGCGCACCTGCCGGCAGTAGTTGGCCACCTTGCACTCGCGGAGGAAGGACTTCAGCTGCAGGAGGAAGAGGGGCTCAGCCGGCCCCACGCAAGGGCCTCTGCACCAGCGCCAGCGCGCACCCACGTGTGCTGACTGGGCAGGGGGGGCCGGGGGGGGCCATGCGGGGCCTCAGGGCACGTGCCCTGAGTTTGACTCGTGGAAACCACAGGACTGACTGCAAAGCCTAAAATACAACCTGGCTCTTCACCAAAATAGCTTGCTGATCCCTGGGACCTCGAGCCTGGCAACAGGTCTGTCTGCACACACGCGCCTGGGTCTGGACGGGCCTCTGAGCCACGGGCAGCTGGGTGTGAGCAGCCCTCCCCACAAAGGGCCGTGCAGAGACAGGCAGTGCCCCTCCCACGAGGCCCAGGCCTCCCCGAGGCGGGGAACACCCAGGTGAGAGCCAGCGGACCCCGCAGGGCAGACCCAGCAGGGGCTTCAGAGAGGAAGGATGCCCCCCAGGGTCGCCCGAAGGAAAGCTGAAGCGACTAATACTGCCCGGCCTGTGCACCGCCCCCAGGGCCACCTGGGGAAGCACTCAGTCGGGGCACCAGCTGATCCAGGGTAGGGGTCCTCCGGGAGCCCTCGTGCGCGGGTCCCCACAGCACAGCCCGGGGGAGGGCAGCGCGGGCCAGGCACCACCACTGGCTCTCGGGCTGAGACAGGCTGCCTTCCCATGGCCCCGGGGCAAGTGGGGGCCGAGGCCATTTGGACAGCCCGGTCTGCCTCGCCACCGGCCGCGGAAGGCTGCGGGCAGGGGCAGGGGGTGGGCAGCGGCACGCACCTGCAGGACGGCGGGCAGCGCCAGCTCAGGGAAGGCGATGCTGTGGGCCTGGCTGTGCAGGTGCTCGAGGGTGAGGTCGTAGAGCTGCTCCACCAGGCCGTCCTGCGCACGGGCGGGGGACAAGGCAGCAGGCGCTCAGGGGGCTTCCGTTTCAGGGCAGCACGTCAGCTCCCTGCCAGGGCCGGGACCCCACCGCCTCCCTGGAGGCCATACTCTCAGGTCGCCGGGGCTGGGGCCCACGGGTGTCGGCTCCCCGACTCCGGGCGCCCACAAGGGTGTGTGGGGAAGTTCCAAAGGGTGGCGAGCTCCCCCAGCCCACAAGCCCCTCGCCTCCACAGCCACCCTGCACGCTGACCTCAGTGCCCTCGGATGCCCTCGGACATCCGCCCACCCAGGGCCTCCCCTAGGCCCCCGCCTGGAAGTCAGGGCGCCAGCCTCACCCGGTAAGCCTTCTCCTGCAGGTTGACCTTGGACAGCTTCAGGATCACAGCAAAGTTGATGGGCTTGGAGCTCATGCGCCCCGGCTTCCTGTTGAAGTCAACCTGCTGGAAGACCTGCACCCGCCCTGCCTGCGTCAGCCCCGGCGGCAGCCCCCACACCCCCTGCGCTGCCCCACCCCAGCCCCAGTCCCTGAAGCCCCAGTGTGAGAGCAGGGACAGGGCAATGCAGCGCCAGACCTGCAGCCCCCAGATAGCCCGCCCCAGGAGTCTGCTCGTCCAGAGCTCTGGTGCCCCAGGGGAGCCCCTCCCTCCCGGAGCGGGGCCCCGGCCAATGGGCAGGACCAGGAACGCCGGCACCCACGCTGCCAGCGACCCTCCTGAACACCGGGCCAGAGCCCCCAGGACGTGCGTGCCTGGAGACGAAGAAGAGTCCCCCCCATGTGGGCTGTGGGGCCACTGTCACACACCACCCTCACCCGCGCTCACAGCCCCAAGGCCCGGGGCTGCAGCCCCTGGAGCGACACTGCCCCCGCCCCCCACGTATGCTACGGAGACCGCAGTCTGTGCTGTGGGTACTGGCCGTGGCCTCTGGGAGGAGGCCTCCTCCCGGTCTGGAGGCGACAGGCAGCCCATGGAACTGAGTGCGTGCCTGGCCTCTGAGCCGCGCACCTCCCCCGTGAGTGACCCCCCGAGGGGGAGGTTCACGGTGAGCCCCCGAGGGGGATGGGCGGCGCCCCAGACGGGAGGCTCGGAGCCTCCAGGCGAGAGGTCGACCCCAGAGGTCGGCTCCAGGCGAGAAGCCGCCGCGACAGTGGTGTCGGCAGACGGGGCCCCGGGAGGGCTCGGCCCGTGGGGGCCTGACCTCGCACACACAGTGGCTCTCAACCCTCCTCTGCACCACCCAGGGAGGGGTGGGCCGCAGCTCCCTGGAGGCAGGAAGTTCGACTGCCGCCTCTGCGGCCTGCTGGCTCCGGAGGGGAGAGGTCTGCACCCCCGGGTGAGAGGGCGTGCGGGGCGGGGAGCTGCCCCGAGCTGAGGCTGGGCTCGCTGCCCAGGAGACGGAGGGGGAAGAGGCCGAGCGAGACCGTGGACAGAGGGGGCAGCAGACAGAGGCCCAGAGCCCGCCACAGGCAGGACTTCAGGCCTGGTCAGCAGAGCTTGGTAGGCGTCCCTCTGTAAGCACAAGCCTGTGCCGCCCTGCCTCAGGGCGCTGAGCAAGAAGGTCCCTGGGGCTCCCTGCCTGCTCCTGGGGCCACTGGTGCTCCGGGGCCCCCGCTGCCTGCACCGCGCAGCCCCGCTGCCTGCGGCACAGCTGAGCTGCCTGGCGGGCGGCACAAAGGCGCCTCTGCTGCAGGGGAGGGGGGGAGTTCCCCTGAGTTTCCTGGGTTGGCCTGTCAGTGGGTTTCTGCACTTTGGCCCACAGCCCTTCTCCCCCCACCCGAGCTGCGTGAGCGTGACAACGCACACACGCACACGGGTGCGTGTGCACAGGGACGTGGCGAGGGCAGACGCAGCCTCGGGCTCAGGCCTGGAACTCTGGCCTCATCTCCCGCTCACCCTCACCCTGGGCAGACGCCCCAGACCTGCGCCCCAGGCCCCCCTCCTCACGTAGGTGACGTACGTTAGGGAACAGCTTCCTGGCCCTCACCGCCGCTCCCACCAACCAACGGGAGCCCCCGGCCGGGGCAGCCTCACCCCCACACGTGGTGCGGGTGGAGCCCCGCCCCCCAGACCCACCGCTCACCTCGAGGATGAAGGGCAGCACGGGGATGAAGGTGCCGGTGCCCTCGGCGAGCAGTGTCAAGGCGCGCACGCAGTGCATGCGCAGCGGGTAGAAGCGCGCAGTGGGGACCAGCCTGGGGGCGGGAGGGTGGGGTGAGACGACGGAGGGAGACCAGGCCCAGCCTCAGGGACCCCACGCACCCGCCTCACCGGCCCGCTGTTGCCCTCCCCTCTCCGTGGAGCCCCGGCCTCAGCAGGGTCCCAACCCCCCACCCCCCCACCCCCGCCTTGGGGTCAGAGGCCGTGCCTGCCCCACCAGGTTCCTGAGAACAGGGCAGGACACCAGGCCTTCAGGACCCACCTCCTTGCTCAGCTGCGGGGCTCGGGGGAGACCCAGCAGCTTTAATTTGGGTTCATTTATGCTGTTTGTGTGGGGGGCCCCTGCTCTCAGGGCCCACCCTCCAGGGGACAGGGTGCCCCCTCCTGGCCGACAGCCACCGGCTGCAGGCGGCTCCTCCACTCCCCGCTGAGGCTGAGGCTGAGGCTGAGGCAGCCACAGCCGGCCCCGCCCCAGACTGGACCTGCTCTGCCCGGGGAACCCCGTGAGGAAAGCCAAATGCCCTCCACACCACACTCACTCCTCCACCCACCACCCCAGGGGGCACGAGGCCACTGCAACCTCAGACATCACCGCGTCACCAAGGCACAACCTCGGCCCCCCACTCCCCCCAGGCCCTCCAGAACAGTGCTGCAACCCCCCCCAACCCCCCGCCAACCTGTGGTGGAGCCCTGCCCCCGTCAGCTCTGCTCCGACTCACTTGATGCAGCCGAGGACGACCTGGGCGAGGGGGTAGACCAGGGGCTGGAGGGCGTCGCTGGGGCAGATGGTGCTGAGGACACGGCACCACAGCTGCAGGCAGTGCACGAACTGCCAGTTGTACACGGACTGGTACGTCTCCTGCACAGGGTCGCCTGGGTCAGCCCCGCTCCCTGAGGGCCCTCCCCCCACGCACAGGTGCCGGCGGGCAGCAGCACCGGGCCCCTCCTGGGCCCCCAGCAAGGACTCTGACCCCACCGAGGTGCTGGGCTGTCTCTTCCAGGAGGCCCCAGGCCCTTGTGTCGGGCTCCTGGGCCGCTCGGCCCCCTGCCCCGCCACCCACCTTCTTGCGAGTGGTCATGGCGTTGCGCAGGTGGATGGCGAGCTGGCGGATGTAGAGGAAGGCGTGCTGGTAGGCGACGCCGGGGTCCAGGGCCAGCAGCTCGGTCAGCGTCCGCTGCATGAAGCTGATGAGGGGCAGGGTGCTGGGCGAGGTGAACTTGCAGTTCCTCACGTAGGTGATGTACATTTGCTGCCGGGGCACAGTCACCGCCGCCTGAGCCCCGAGGCCCCACTGCCAGACACAGGGCCCGGCCCCCGGGAGCCACTCATGCCCCTCGGAACCACAGCCTGGCCACACCCGCTGCACACCCTGGCCCGGGCTGTGGCTCGGCCTCCCCGTGGTGCACCCACCAACCTCTCCAGCCGAGCCTGTGGCCAGAGGGAGGGCGAGCTCCAGCACGAACACCTTCGGGAACCAGCAGGGACTGCGGAGGGACTGGGAAGGCGGAGGCCCTGCCACAGGCCTGGAGGCCAGAAGGTCCCACCCAGGTCAGGCCACCCAGTTTGGAGCCGGGCACCAGGGTCCCTGCCCCTTTCCACAGCCGACGTCCTCACCCCCTGCGGGGACAGCTGTGCGCTGCAGTCCACGTGGAGTGCACCGTGCCCCACTCCTCAGGGAGGGACCTGTGACAAGGGCCTGGGTCTGCCTGCCGGCCCTCAGGCTGAGAGGTCCACCCCGCCCCCGGTGGACATGTGCTGGGGCAGCACAGGTGGCAGCTGCCGGCCCACACTACCTTCAGAACGGGGCTCAGGAAGGTGTCTTTCTTGTGCCGGCAGACTCGGACGAGGACCAGGAAGGCCAGCACTCGAAGGGTCTCTTCACCTGTGCTCCACAGGACCACCATCCGCTGCAGAGAGCGAGAGGTCAAGGCCGGCCGTGGCCTCCCCCGGTCCAGCCAGAGGCTCCTGTGGGCACTGCTGGGAAGCAGCCCCAGCTTAGAGCCTATTCTCACGGGACCGGGCCAGGCTGCCTAGGAAAGACGCCGGCAGGGTGGGGCATCTGAGGGTGAGCCCGAGCACCCAGCCACCCCTCCGGGTGCCCTGCCCACCTTGAGCAGCATGCGGCACTGCTTGGGGAAGGTCAGGAAGTAGGGCACGGAGCTGCCAACGTGCTGCAGAAGGGCCGCGGCCACTGTCGCCTCCGCCACGCAGGCCACCAGCTGCGGAAGCCAGAGAGCCAATCAGCGTGGCTGAACCTACTCACCCCGAGAAACTGCACGTGGTCAGGCCCCGGTGACCCAGCAGGCCCTCTCCCCCAGGAACCGCACCTGTGTGACTGAGCTCAGGTAAGCCTTGACATCCAGCCGGAGCTTCCCCCACAGCGGGCTACTGGACGGCTGCGGCAACCTGCAGGAACCACACCCGCCCCACCCTCATGAGACCCTGAGGCGGAGCAGGCGCCCCAGCAGGCCGGAGAGTACACACAGCTTCGGCAGCCCTGGGGGGCCCCGACGTCTCCCCCGGACGCCGCTAACTGCCCCTGCAGCCAGGCTGCCCTCGGCCCACACAAGCCTTAAGGGCCTCTGCCTTCCCCACCGCGGTGCCCCCCGTCCCCTCTCAGCCCCAGTCCCACCCCCTCTCACCTGCTGCTGTCCTTGGGAGCTTTTCCAAAGAGAAGCTTCTGGAGACAGCCCAAGAGGTCTCTGACACAGAAAGTGACCAGTGCGTTGAACACTGCAACGAGGGGCCGCAGGTGCTGCTCTCAGGACAGGAGGTGGGACCGGGAGACTGTGCCCTGGGTCCCCTGGCCCCAGCTCACCAGCACTGTCTGTGACCTGGAATTTGCTGGCCTCAGCCCCGTCCTGGTCGCCCTGGGTGGTGGCCACAGCTGCCCGGAACGCCTGCACGACCTCATGGAACAGCTTGGGAGTGAGGCGCTGCTGCAGGGGCGACAGAACCCAGAGCGCTGTGGGGGCCGCCCACTGTACTAGACGGGGGGGGGGGGGGGCCAGGGCCCCCAGAGCCGATCCTAGGAGAGAGAGGAGGGCACCCCTCGCCAGGTGCCTCGAATAAAAAGACAGGGTCCTCCTGAGTGGGCATGGAGCCCGCTCAAAGGCCACGGGGGAGAAGCTGAGGGTCCAGGATGCTCTCTGTCCCACCTTCCCCCCGACAGACACCATGGCAAGACGCCCAGGAGAAGGCACCCGGCCTGACCCCCTAGTGAAGGCACAGAGGTCACACCCTGCCCACAACAGACTTCGAGGAGCAAGAAGCAGGAAAGGGGGGCCGGGGGCGAAGGAGCAAGAGAGCCCTGCTGGCCCCGAGGGAAGGAGCGGACGCAGAAGCCCCGGGCCTCCCGGCGCGAGGGGAGCCGCGAGAGGCTCTTCGTGCCGACAGGACTCCAGGGCCGCTGCTCCAAGGAGGGTCCTGCGGTCGGCACGGCCCCGGCCAGCGAGAGGGGTGACGGGGAGCGTGCCCTGGGGCTCATCCCGGGCCGAGTCTCACTTTTGCGGCCTGCTTCCATCTCTCCACCATGGCGAGGGTCACAGGGAGAGAATGCCTCTTCTTCCCCCTTGGTCCTCCGGAAACCCCGTCCTCGTCCTCCTCCCCTTCCTCCTCGCTCGCTTCCTGCAGCAGACACAGAGTGCCAGGCCTGAGCAGGGGGCAGAGCCCAGGAGCAAGCGCACCCGGCCCCCCTGCCCCGCTCAGCGCCGCCCCCGCCGCACCTCCAGGGCGTCGGGCGTGCGGTGGAGCTGCGGCTCCTCCCCCTCGGAGCTGTCCGAGTCGCTGAAGTTGAGCAGGCTCTGGTCATTCTCCTGCAGGAACTTGTAGAACTCGGGGTCTTTGTCCTTCAACCGAGAAAGCTGGTCCTTGTGCTCAGACGCACGACCTTTGTGCCGGCTGAGAAGGTGGGGGTCAGCCATCAGGTCGGACGGGCAGGCAGAGCCATGCATGGGAGGGGGGGCGGGCAGGGCTTGCCGGCCTCCTCTGGGAAGACGGAGACTTCACCTGTTCCCTCCACTGCCGCTGCTGCCAGCGAGCGCGGGGCAGGTTCTCGGCAGACCCCCTCGTCACCAGCCTCGGCTCTCTGCGCCCGCCGCTCACCACGGCCCACCGAGGCAACACTGCACCCGGGTGCGCAGACCCTCCGTGGTGGGGAGCGCCGCCTCCCCAGACCCCAGGCGGGGGGTAAGCGTGGCCTCCTCCCAAACTAGCACCGCCTCTCGGCTGTCACGGCCCCTTCCTACCCCCGTGCTCGTCGCCCGCGGCCTGTTCATGACACAGCTCCCCGGCAACCCTCCCGTTACCCGTCACCTGTTCTCGCTTCGCTCCTCAAACCCCGGCAGTGGCTTCCCATTCCACCAGCACATCCTTCCCTCTGAATCCCCTCCCTCCCCCCAAAGAGCATTTCTTTGTTGTTTTTTAGAGAGAGAGGAAGGGGGCGGAGAGCCACCGATGCTAGAGAGACACATCGGTCGGTTGTCTCCCGCACGCACCCGACGGGGGACTGAACCCACTACCTGCACCCGCGCCCCGACCGGAGTTCAAACCTGCGGCCGCTGCGCTCCCTAACCACAAACAACCGACCGAGCCGCGCGGCCAGGGCCCCAGCACCACCCCTCCAGGTAGTCGTCCCCCGCCTCCTCGCCGCCGCCGCCCCTCCTGCCTCCCGCCAGCCAGAGCCCCACTCACCGCCGCGCCAGGCCTGGTCCCCTCTCAGGGCTTTGCCCCACGTGCACCTCCTTAAAGGAGCTTCTCCCCTTCCCTTAACACGGCAACGGGCGCCCCGGCTACGCTGTTTCCCCTCCTGCCCACGGCACCTACGCCTCCCGACTCACCCGAGGCTCCGTGCGCTCCCCGCCGGCCCACCCGGGATCCGGGAGGCTCCGCGCGCCACCCGCGCCTCAGCTTCTGCGGCTCCTTCGGGCTCCGACTCAGACTCCGAATCAAAGCCCGAGGCCAGGAACTCATCCACCGTCAGCTCCGCCAGGCGCCTGCGGGCCACGACACCGGGGTCACGACTCCCCGCCAACCCGGGGTGCCCCGGCCCCGCTGCCCAGGCGCACGGAGAGACCCCCGCGGATACGGGCACCGGTCCCCAGCCCCTCAACGCACCGCTTGCGGCCCCGCACCGCTGCCATAGCTGCCAGGCCGCCACGCCGCCGCGTGAGCCCCACTTCCGGTCCCACGATGCCTTGCGCCCGGCGCTCCGCCTGCGGTCGGCCCCGCCCCTGGCCCCGCCCCGCCGCGCTGGCTCTCCGGTTTTCCGGCCTTGGTCCCGCGGCCCGCGCGCGGGAGGGCGTGTTCACAGCTACTGTGCGGCTGCGGGCGCGCCCGGGCTGCTGGTTGGTGGGCGGGATGCGGGCGCCCGGCGCAGGCCTGGTTCGGTCACGGCTCCTGCACGCATCCGCTCGAGCGCCGGCTGGACGGGCTGCTCACGATCAGTGTGCTTCTCCGTCAGAGGCAGTGATAACACTACCGGCCTTGGGGGAAGACGGGGCCTGGGGCCCACTGGGGGCCGCGGCGCCCTCCCCCAGCCTGGCCACAGCCTCCCTAGGGGTCCCTAAACGCGTGCCCGTGAGGGTGTCCTTGCGTCGACAACGGACAAAATGCATCAACAGTGTACCCTATACGGACGGCTCTTACAAATAAACGACAAAGACCCAACACTCTGATAGGAAAAACGAGCAAAACAGAAATGGTGATGCTATAGATGGGCAGGTTCGCCAAAAGATAAGCGACACCCCGCTGGCCAAGCCGGCACCGCCGGACCAAAGGAGGATCCAAGCCCTGAGAACATTTCCATTTCCCCGGGCTGTCCCACGGTCCCTGGCGAGGAAGGTGGTGGGGGGAGGCGTCTTTATGGAAGCCGCTCGGCCAGATCCACCTGAAAGTACTATGCCCAATACTTCACTCCAGCTACTCTCCCTCCGGTGGGAATTCGCCCGTGAACGCCTTCGCCCAAGTCCATTCGTGCAGGGACGGCCACTGTTCCTGTGCTGTCTGTGGGAAGACCCCGCGGGCGCAAAGGCCCAGAGGCTAGAAGGTTGCCTTAGGGAGCAAGGAGCAGAAGCCAGCCTGTGCCCTCCCTCCCGCCCATTCCCGCCTAAGGGTGAGGGTAAGCGGGGCGGGCGCGGTTGGCTAGACAACACCACAGTGGATCCTACAGCCTCCCGGGCGCGAGCGAGGCTCTGGTCAGGCCCCTCAGGCCCTGCGCCCTGCTTCACCTACTCCCGCCCCCCGCAACCAGCGCTCAGCTCAAGGCCTGGTATTCGTAGAAGGGGATGGGGAGGGGGCTTCTTTAATGAGTTAGAGGGGGCGGTAGGCCCGCGAAGCTTCTTGGACAGGAGCGGCAGGTGGGGCCCGGGGGGCTTCCTGGAGGAGGAGGCAGGCGTGGCGCCGGGATGTTGAGAGGATTCGCGTCCTACGCTGTGCGCCCGAAGCCGATGGGGGGCGCACGGGAGGCGGGGCGGGCGGCGCCGAGAAACAGCGGCTGCGGGCAGGCAGCGGGAGCCAGAGACGCTGAACCGGCCGCCGCCGCCGAGCAGCCCTCCAGCGGTCTGTGCATCCGTGAGTCTGGGCGTCCTCCGCGGATCGGCGGCGGGCACGGTGGCCGAGCCCATGCAGCCGCGCAGCGAGCGCCCGGCCGGCAGGACGCAAAGCCCTGAGCACGGCAGCCCGGGGCCCGGGCCCGAGGCGCCGCCACCGCCTCCGCCGCAGCCGCCGGCGTGAGTGGGCCGGGGGACTGGGACCGGGGCCGGGACTGGGACCGGGGCCGGGCCAGGGGCTAAACGGGTCCGGGAAGGAGGAAGGGAGGGGCGCGCGCCGACCCCGGCAGGCTGCCGGGAGGGGGCGGCCTTGGCGCCCCGCAGGCTCCGGTTGCCTGGGATGGGTCCAACCTGCTCCGCACACGCAGCGGATGCGGGGCCGGGCGTTCAGAGGCAGCTGCGCCCGGAAGCTCTGTCCTTTCCCGCAGGCCTTTAATCCTGCCTGGTTGCGCTGCTCAGAGACTCAGGCGGCTTGTCTGCAGAACGGCTGGGGTGCGGGGTGGCCCAGGAGGGCGGCGGTGGGCAGGAGGGGCTGGTCCGGAGGGTCAAAAGAGGTCACGCCTGCTGGGGTTGGAGGGCGCAGGGTCCGCTCCAGAGCCGCCTGCTTCCACTGACCAGTTTCACTTCGTGCCAGCCGGGTCTGTGGATACGGGGCTGCGAGGGGCGCCGGGAAGGGTGGCCAGCCATGGACAGAGGAAAGCCCATTCTGACCCAGGCACCTGGGCAGCAAGAAGTATGGTGCTTGTGGGAGGGGGCAGAGAAAGCTGCACAGGTTCCACACTCCAACCTCGTGGGAGAAGGTGGGGAGGCTCCTCGGAAGTGAGGGAGCAGAGTGGGGTGAGCTGAGGCCGCAGTCGAGGCCCCTGAAGGACGCCAGGTATGGGCCCTGAGGGGACGAGGGGCCCCCTGGGTGCCCTGGCCTGATCTGGCACCCTGACCTGGCACTGCCCATCGCAGCCCTGACGCCGAGCGTGCGAGGACCCGGCCGGCCCGGCCCACGGCCCCCATGGAGGGCGCCATGCAGCTGCTGAGCCGAGAGGGCCACACTGTGTCCCACAACTCCAAGCGGCACTACCACGACGCCTTCGTGGCCATGAGCCGCATGCGGCAGAGGGGCCTCCTGTGTGACATCGTCCTGCACGTGGCCGCCAAGGAGATCCGGGCGCACAAGGTGGTGCTGGCCTCCTGCAGCCCCTACTTCCATGCCATGTTCACAAGCAAGTACCCCCCCACCCGGTGGGCACGCGGGGGCTCTGTGGATGGGGCTGGCCTGCCTGACCCGCTGTCCCCACAGACGAGATGAGCGAGAGCCGCCAGACCCACGTGACGCTGCACGACATCGACCCTCAGGCCTTGGACCAGCTGGTGCAGTTTGCCTACACGGCCGAGATCGTGGTGGGGGAAGGCAACGTGCAGGTGAGGCCGCCTCGCCCCCCCGTCCCGTCCCCACCTGTTCTCCGGCCTCAGCTCTCCTCTCACCTGTCTCTTGCTCTCTGTCGGGGCCCCCGGCCCTCACCCACAGACTCTGCTCCCAGCCGCCAGCCTCCTGCAGCTGAACGGCGTCCGGGACGCTTGCTGCAAGTTCCTGCTGAGTCAGCTCGACCCCTCCAACTGCCTGGGCATCCGGGGCTTCGCCGACACGCACTCGTGCAGCGACCTGCTCAAGGCGGCGCACAGGTACGTGCTGCAGCACTTCGTGGACGTGGCCAAGACCGAGGAGTTCATGCTGTTGCCGCTGAAGCAGGTAACGTGCCAGCTGGGGCGCAGCCTGGCCCGTGGCCCAGCCCCTGGCCCCTGGCCCCGTCGCCCGGGCCCTTAGGACCTGGGCACCTGCTCCCTATTCCCAGTCTCTGGCCTGTGTTCCAGCCCCCCCACCCGCCCCCCACCACTTCTTTGTCCCCATCTTCGGACCCCACCCAAGTCTCCTCCTACGGTCTCTGACCACATCCCTGCCCGCAACCCCGGTCCCTGGCCCCACATCCCCAGGAATGCCAGGGCCCCCGGGATCCAGATCTGTGGCTCCTGACCCTCCTCGTGGGAACACTGGGCCCCCCCGTTGGCACCTTCCCAGGCACCATCAGGGCTCCGTGGGCCCCAAGACCCTCCCCAGATCTCAGGTCTGAGGGTCCCCACCCCCAGGTGCTGGAACTGGTCTCTAGCGACAGCCTGAACGTGCCTTCCGAGGAGGACGTCTACCGCGCCGTGCTGAGCTGGGTCAAGCATGACGTGGACGCTCGGAGGCAGCACGTCCCGCGGGTGAGGCCAGCCCCTCGGGGCCCGCGGTGTCCGTGAGGGGGTGTGGTGCCCGCGTGTGCCTGGGGCCTCCGTGTCCAGGGACACCCAGGCAACGCAGGCACGTGTCTCGGGAAGTGTCCGGCGTACAGGTGGACAGGGGTCCGAGGGGGCACTCACTACGGGGACAGAGTGTGCTCACGGGTCCTGCCCACGTCCTGACCGTGGCGCCCCACACCCCAGCTGATGAAGTGTGTGCGTCTGCCGCTGCTGAGCCGGGACTTCCTGCTGGGCCACGTGGACGCAGAGAGCCTGGTGAGGCACCACCCAGACTGTAAGGACCTGCTCATCGAGGCCCTCAAGTTCCACCTGCTGCCAGAGCAGAGGGGCGTCCTAGGCACCAGCCGCACTCGGCCCCGACGCTGTGAGGGGGCCGGCCCTGTGCTCTTCGCTGTGGGTATGGCCCCCTGTCCCGCCCCCTCCCTGCCCCTTCACATCTCTGTCCTGCATCTTCGGTTCACGAGCCCAGCACCAGCCGCCCCCACCCTGTGTTGGTCCCATCCTGCGCCCACCCCTCTCTCCACCTGTGGAGGAGCCCGTGTGGTGTGACCCACTCACAGATTGCCTCCCTTGGAGCCCACAGTCCCTCCACCTTGAGCTGTGCCCAAGCCTGCAGCCCGCTGCCTCCCTGGGCCCCTCATGCTGCCCCAGCCCCTCCCCTTCCCAGGCGGTGGGAGCCTGTTCGCCATCCACGGGGACTGTGAAGCCTACGACACACGCACGGACCGCTGGCATGTGGTGGCCTCCATGTCCACACGCCGAGCCCGAGTGGGTGTGGCAGCGGTGGGGAACCGGCTGTACGCAGTGGGCGGGTGAGTGTGGCGGCTGCTCTCGGGTCAGGGGCTGAGTGGGAGCCCACTGGGCCGGCCCCGACGGCGGTGGGCCCCTCTTCTAGTTACGATGGGACTTCAGACCTGGCCACGGTGGAGTCCTACGACCCTGTGACCAACACCTGGCAGCCTGAGGTGTCCATGGGCACAAGGCGCAGCTGCCTGGGCGTGGCGGCGCTGCACGGACTCCTGTACGCGGCCGGCGGCTACGACGGGAGCCTCCTGCCTCAACAGGTAGCAGCCCGGGTCCAGGAGGGCGGCCTGGCGGGGCTGGCTCCACAGCGGGGGGAGGCGGCAGGCCTGCAGAGGCCACTCTGAGGAGGGCAGAGGGGGACCCTGCCTGACCCGGGCTCCTTGCCACTGGCCTAGGGGCCCGTGCGCACACGCCAGGCCAGCGTCCTGCTCCAGGGGGACCCAGGCCTGTCCCCGTGACCCCCCCGGGTCAGCGGCGGCCCTGTTGTCCGCAGTGCCGAGCGCTACGACCCCCTGACCGGAACATGGACGTCCGTCGCCGCCATGAGCACCCGCAGGCGCTACGTCCGTGTGGCCATGCTCGGTGGGTGACGGGGCTTGCCGGCTGCAGTGTCTGCCTCTGCCCGCCCCCGCCCCGGAGACCCCCCAGCAGGCACGCCACGGGCATGTTGACTCCCTGCAGATGGCACCCTGTACTCAGTGGGCGGTTACGACAGCTCGTCCCACCTGGCCACCGTGGAGAAGTACGAGCCCCAGGTGCGCAGCGCCCCCGTCCCAGGTGTTCCCCTCCCCGAGGGCTGCCTGAGGCCGTCTCTTTGGCCCCCCACGCCCCCCAGGGCATCGGCCCTTTAGATCCGTCTGCCCTGCCCCCCGGCGTCCCACAGACACTGCCCTGGAGAGGGGTCTGCGCTGTGGAGGTGGAGGGAGGCTGGTGGCGGGCCTGCCCCCAGCGGGACCTCTCGACCACAGGTGAACACGTGGACGCCGGTGGCCTCCATGCTGAGCCGGCGCAGCTCAGCCGGCGTGGCGGTGCTGGAGGGGGCCCTCTACGTGGCCGGCGGCAACGATGGCACCAGCTGCCTCAACTCTGTGGAGAGATACAGCCCCAAGGCCGGGGCCTGGGAGAGTGTGGCGCCCATGAACATCCGAAGGTGCGCAGTGCCACCGCCCAGGGGTGGGGTCCCCCTCAGAGACGGAGCCTGAGCAACGTGTATCACTAGTATATCCACTCTCCCTCCCCGGCCGGGGCCGGGGCTCCTCCCCCAGGGAGAGGGGTGGGGCCCCAGTGGCTCCTCCCCCAGGGAGAGGGGTGGGGCCCGTGGCTCCTCCCTGCCCCCTCACCCACCTGCCCTGCCCCCAGGAGCACCCACGACCTGGTGGCCATGGATGGCTGGCTGTACGCCGTGGGGGGCAACGATGGCAGCTCCAGCCTCAACTCCATCGAGAAGTACAACCCGAGGACCAACAAGTGGGTGGCGGCGTCCTGCATGTTCACTCGGCGCAGCAGCGTGGGCGTGGCGGTGCTCGAGCTGCTCAACTTCCCGCCGCCGTCGTCGCCCACGCTGTCTGTGTCCTCCACCAGCCTCTGACCTGGGGGGCTGTGGCCTCCCACATGCCTTAAGCCCCACAGGGGGCCCCAGCGCCTCCCCCCCGCCCCGGCCGTGCGTCGGGCTGGGTCCCCTCACCTGCACCAGGGACGGCCGGCCCCGCTGGTCCCCGTTCCTGTGTCCGGTCCTCGGCGTCGTCCTCGTGTGTGCAGTCTCTCTATTTGTTTGTCTATTTATTCAGTATTTATTGATGGGCGGGCAGTGCCGCGGCTGCCGCTCCTACGTTTACTCTGGGAGGGGTCCTGTGTCCTGGGACCAAGCTGCCGACCCGGGTGCCCTCCCGCCCTGCGGGGGGCACCAGGGAGTGTGGGGGTGGACGTTCCTCACCCGTGGGTCAAGGCCAACCCAGACTCTGCAGACCTGGAGGGACCAAGAGGTGGATGGTAGATGCAGAGCAGCTGGGCGAGGGGAGTGGGGGGCCTCTAAGCGGGGCAGACCCCCCCAGCCTTTGCTTTGCACACCACCCTTGCCTCTCGGGGCAAGGCACGCTCCCAGGTGGGCACAGAGGGGCTTCCTGCCTGGGGGCGGGGGTGTCTCCCCTGGTGACCGCAGGCCGCTGCCAGCAATATGAGCCGACTCGGACAATAAACTTGTTCCTCGGGCTCCGGCCCTGCGTCTGAGTGTGTGTCTCTGCCTTTCGGGGTCCTGCCTGGGGGTGAAGACGCAGCTGGGCAGAGGTGCTGCCGGGCTGGCCTGTGGGGCCTGGAGGTGGCACCACCACGTCCCGCTGCGGCAGGACTGTGACGCCCCGCACAAGGGCACAGGGGCCCGAGCGGTGCCCCTGCCAGTCTGGTGCTTCGAGGGCCCCGCGGCCCACCTCACCCCAGGCTTGCCGTGACGGTCGCCTCTGTGGACTCTGGCTGAGCCCATGGGCCCTGACCTTGGCCCCTTGGCAGGGAGAGAGGGATGGGCCAGGGAAGGGGAAAAGGTGGGGGAGGGCCCAGGCACCCCCTGCCTGCGTCCCCCGTGCTGCAAGCTCCTGCTTCAGGAGGCCGTGCACACCCCCTCACAGTCCCTGGCGACTTGAGTTGGCGGGGAGGTGGAAACGGGGTGTGTGCTCCTGGGGGGTGTCTTGAGGGGGGGCCCCCCAGGCCTTCGGAACTCCAGCCCAGACGCCCCGGCCTAAGTTCCGGCAGGCCACGTGCTCAGGGGCCCCACCGTTCAGACTACACGCCCTTGGCTGAGCGGGGGCGGGGGGGGGCCATCACTCCTCGCCCCCCGGGCTGGCCCGCCGGCAGGGAAGACACAGCTCAGAGGGCTGAAGGGCTCGGCCCAGGTGGGGCCAGTCCGTCTGGGGGAGGCTCCGCCCCAGCCCGGCCCTGGGAACTGGGCTGAGCGTTGCTGGCCCGCCTCCCCGGGGGTGGGGGCAGGCGGCTCAGGACTCGGGGCCCAGACGCATCGACCAGCTCGCTGGGGCCAGTCGCCCAGCTGCCACTGCTGCCCATGGGGAACAGCCACTGCGTCCCTCAGGCCCCCAGAAGGCTCCGGGCCTCCTTCTCCAGAAAGCCCTCGCTGAAGGGCAGTAGGTGAGAGGCGGGCGTGGCCTCGGCACTGGGTCACGGGGTCACCCTCAACCTGCCTGGAGGGACAGGCTGTGAGCCCCCCCCCCCGTGTCCCTTGTCCCCAGAGAGGATGGCACGAGGAAGCTGGCTGGCCTGTTTGGCACCGGGGCCCGAGCCGAGGGGGACGCCACCGCCGACAAGTTCTTCTACTACATCCCTGGGACGGTGAGCGGTGGGCGTGTCCCAGCCCCGGGCCGGCCTCCCGGGGCGCGGCGGCGCCCGTGTCTGCTCAGCTGGGGGTCCCGTGGGTCGGCGGGGAAGGGGGGAGGGGGTGTCAAATCCAGAACAAGGTGAGGAAGTAGGAACAGCCCCGCCCCAGCAGCTCCTCCAGCCGAAAGTCTGAGCGGAGAGCGAAACCGGGACAAGCTCTGAGTCAGTGGGTGAGCGCACAGCAGGGCGCTGGGGGCGGGGCCTCCCAGCCGCCCCGGAGGGGGCGCTGCTGCCGCTGGCCAGCCCAGGGCTGGGTAGTGAGCGTGTCCAGCCACGTCCGGGTTGGACCGGACCCACGTATCTCTGAGCTGTTGTCGTGTGGGCTTGGATGTCGTGTTCCTAGTGTGGACGTGAATCACACCCCCGCCCTCTCTACTCAGGGGGAAGGGGCTTGGGTGATCTCGGAGGGGGCCTCTCACCCAGTCTGGCCCCCGTTCCTTCCAAGGTGTCTCCCAGCATCCACCACCCCTCCTCCCAGAGCAATGCCCCGTGTCCCCCGCCCCAGGGCCACACAGCAAGGGCTGGCCACCAAGCCCTGCCGCGCTGAAGACCACCCCTCCCCCACCGGGCTCCTCTGGGGCTGAGAGGTCGTGAGGGGGTTTGGGCCAGGGCTCCGCCCTGCTCTGCCGGTCGCGGTCGCGTTGGCCTGGGCGTCCGGGGCTCCCTGAGGGCGAATGTGGGCTCCAGAAACCAGGTCCCTCGGAGGCACAGGGTCCTTCCGGGTCCTTCCACGTGGCCACATCTCAGACCTCAGCTCCTGCTGTCTGGGCCCAGGACACATCGCAGGACCCTGGTGGAGTCCCTCGGGTGTGGTGGTCCTCTTTTGCCAGGACTGGTGGCCGGAGAGGGGACCGGGCGTGTTGCACCGCGGGAGATGGGGCCGGGGAAAAGCCAGCTCCCCCCGGGTCCTGCCTGGGTGGCTCTGAGCTGACTCCTCCCCAGGCCACAGGGCCATCTTCACAGCCCTGCCTGCTCCTTGGCCTATTTTTCACGGTCCCATCCCGGTGTCGCTCCCCAAACTGGGTGTGGGTGCAGCAGGCCCCACCCAGAGGCAGGAGGCCGGGAGGCTGTGAGTCTGTCCGTGCACATTCCTGGCTTGTCCGTGGGGCGCCGCGGCCGGTGGGGCAGCCCCTGCGGGTCCTGGAGGGGCGTGGCCCCTGCACAGTGCAGCCCCCCGTCCCAGGTCGGCACTCAGCCCTGCCTGACCCCACTCGGGCGATCGACCCCATGTGCGGAGGGAGGCCTCTCTGTGCCCCAGAATCGGCTGCGTGTTTGTGGGCGCCGGCAGGCGGGCCCCGAGCCCCCAGCACATCCCAGGAGGCCCCAGCGATGCAGCCGTGGGCGCAAGGCACAGGAGCCCTGTTCTCGGGGTGTCTCTGTCCCTGTGACAGAGCTCTGACCTGACCGGCCAGCGAAAGACAGGACCAGTGAGGCGTGGTTGGCACAGGGGCCCGGAGACCGGGGCCCAGAGGGCACCAGACGGTCCGGCCCGGGCCCGGGGGAGGCGAGCGAGCCCGCCCTGAGGGAGGGGAGAAGCCGGCGCAGGCAGAGGGAGCAGCCAACCCCACGGCCCCGGGCCGGGCATGCACCTGGCGTGTGGGAAGAGCAGGAGGGCCGGGGGCGGGAGCAGGCCCCAGAGCACCCCTGGGCCGAGGCCTGGCCTCCACCAGGTGACATCAGGGGTCGGAGGAGCACACTCTCTCCCCGGCCCCACACCGCAGACGCCACACTGGCAGCTCGGAGCGGGCTGTGGGGGGGCTGGCAAAGGCTGCGGGTCGTCTCCGAACCACTTTAGAACCAGGTGCCAAACGTCTCCCAGCCAACCGGAGCCTCGGGGTGGGGGTGGGGTTTGAGCATCTTCCCCTCAGACACTGAGACTCTGTGGCCAGCGCGTGCTGGGGGCTGAGTACCCGGAGTAAGCACACGGCCTGAGCCCAGCCGTGACTGTCTCCGCCACGGGACCCCACACCCGCCCCAGGACTCGCAGTGGGCCCGGCGCGCGTGCGCGGGGGCTCGGGTCCCTCCCCTGAGCGCCGCTCCCCGCAGGACCTCCCCGGCCTGGAGAGCCAGCGGGAGCACCTGGACCAGCCCCTGCTGAGCGTCTTCAAGAAGGGGCGGCGCAAGGTGCCCGTGAGGAACCTGGGCAAGGTCGTGCACTACGCCAAGGTCCAGCTGAGGTTCCAGCACAGCCAGGTGGGGGCCGGGCCAGGTGGGCACTCGGGGCCCAGCCTGCAGCCTGCCCCCAGCACTCAGCCCGTGGCCCTGCCCCCCCAGGATGTCAGCGACTGCTACCTGGAGCTCTTCCCTTCCCACCTCTACTTCCAGGCCCACGGTTCGGAGGGACTCACTTTCCAGGTGAGGGAGGGAAGTGGGCAGGCGGAGGAGACTAGCGGGACGGGGCGAAGGCCGCCTGGGAGCCGGTGGCCACCCCCGGGGTGCCCCCCAGCTCTCCCCTCCCGCTGTGCTCTGGCAGGGGCTGCTACCGCTGGTGGAGCTGAGCATCTGCCCGCTGGAGGGGCCCAGGGAGCACGCCTTCCAGATCACAGGTGTGAGGGGGCGTGGTCGGTCCCAGCCCCAGGAGGCCCCGAGGGCTAGGGCTGCTCAGGGGCCTCGGCCTGTGGCCAGGTGCCTTGACCACGTTCAGGTTGCCAACCTCTCCTCCAGTGGACACACAGCCGTGTGCCGCGCTGGGGTGGGAGGCCGCAGGCCCAGAACAGCAGCGCCTTAGGCTCCTCCCAGCTGCAGCGTTGGGGTCTGTGGGGGTCCCGGGGAGGGCCCTCCCCTGCGGGCTGCTAGCCCGGCCTCCCCCGCTGCTGTTCCCACAGGCCCGCTGCCCGCTCCGCTGCTGGTGGTCTGCCCCAGCGCGGCCGAGCTGGGGCTCTGGCTCTACCACCTGGAAAAGCAGACGGCGCTCCTGGGAGGGCCGCAGCGCTGCCACTCGGCGCCCCCACAGGTCAGTGCCGGGAACCCCGCACCCCCCTCCAGGCCCAAGCCCCCCTGCCTGCCTGCCCTGACCCCACTTTCCCAGGGTGCCCCTGAGGACGCGCTCCCCTGGAGTCTGCAGCACAGGCTGACCCAGCTGCGGACGGCGTGGGGGCGCCCGGCGGTGGGCAGTGCCATCTGCGCCTCAAGGGTCAAGCTGCAGCACCTGCCATCACAGGTGGGTGGGGGGCATGGGGGAGAGGGTGGGGGAGGGGTGGAGGCGGCCAGCGGGGACCAGGCCCTCGCTGTTTGTCCATGGAGACCCCACGCTGCCCTTTGACCACTGACAGGAGCAATGGGACCGCCTCCTGGTCCTGTACCCCACGTCCCTGGCCATTTTCTCTGAGGAGGCTGACGGGCTTGGCTTTAAGGTGGGTCCTCCCCACAGCGACCCACCCCAGGGTGGGTGCCACCCCAGGGTGGAGCCCTGCGTGTGGGGGTGGGAGGGGGCAGTGGCTCAGGAGAAACCTGTAATTCGGGGCCAGTTGGGACAGAGCGTCCTGGCCCCGCCCACCCAGCCGGCTGCCCTGGTCAGTCTGGTCTCGGCTCTGATGTGGGCAAGAGGGGCCCTGCCCGGGCACCCACGTTGCCCCAGAGGAGCTGCCGGCTTCCAGGTGCTGAGGAACAGGCACGCGACTGCAGTCCCCCCAGCGTCCCCCCACCCCCGGTCTTGGCAGTGGGGGAGGGGGCCTGTGCCCATAAGCACCGGCTGTGTGTCCGTCTGCCGTGGGTTGAGGAAGGCCCCGCCCAAAGGCAGGCGGAGGGGCGTAAAGATGCCCCCAGGGCAGGTGGGGGGCACCTGGCTCCCTCAGGGCTGTCGGCCTGGGCCCCGCCACACCTGCCTAGCGTCCCCAGCTCTGAGGGGCCGTCGGAGTGACGGGCCCAGGCAGAGGCCCCACTGCCCCCCCCCCTCGGCTGTCCCTGCAGGGGGAGCTGCCGCTCAGCGCCATCCACATCAACCTGGAGGAGAAGGGGAAGCAGATCCGCTCCTTCCTGATCGAAGGTGGGCTGTGGCCAGGCCTGGGGGGGTGGGCGTGAGCCCCGTGGGTGCCGGCTCTTCAGCGGGGCCTGGGGGCGCCTCACGGTGTCTGTGTGCCGTGTGCCAGGCCGCCTCATCAACACCATCCGCGTGCTGTGTGCCAGCTACGAGGACTACAACCACTGGCTGCTCTGCCTGCAGACCGTCTCCTGCAGGGAGGGGGCGCCCCTCCTGCCCGGCCCCGAGAGCCTCCCGGGGCTGCGGGCGCCCACCCAGGTGAGGGGTGCTCGGGCCCTGGGCACGATGGGGACGGGGGCGGAGGGTGGGGCTGGGCGTGGGCCAGCGAGGAGAGGGCCTGACCCCTCCCCCGCCCCCCAACACCAGGTCCTGGGCAGTGGCCGAGGCTCGCTCTCCTCGGATGGACAGACCAGCTGGGACTCAGGGTGCCCAGCAGCCGCCTCCACCCGCACCAGCCGTTCCCTCCCCGAGTGCTCAGCACCGCCCACAGCCGGCTGCCCCGCCCTGCCTGCACCTGTGAGCACGGGGGCCAGTGGGGGGGGCGCGGTAGGGGGCATGAGGCGAGTTTGTGGTGGGCAGGCTGGGCCCCTGTGGCACCTCGTTCCTCATGGGATGCCAGTTCCTCGGGGGCTGTGAGGGAGAGGGCCCCGAGAATCCCCTGGAAGACTCTGTTTCCCACAGGACCAGGCCGGCCCTGGCTGCACCAGCAGCAGTGGGCAGAAGGCGGAGCTCAGGCGGGGCGGCAGCAGTCGCCTACCCAGAAGCAAGGCCAGGGGCGAAGGGCCCAGCTCAGCCTCCCCGCTGCACCTGGACCTGACCAAGGTGGGCCCAGCCGTTGACCCCGGCTCTGGGCCAGGCTCTCCCTCTGCCCTCTGCCCTCTGCCCCCCGTCCTGTCTCTCTGGCCCAGGAGGTCCTCGAGCCACCCAAAAACCTCTCGAGGAGGAGGAAGAGGAGGGAGGACAGGGGTGTGTCCAGCTCTGGGAGACCCACCTCTGCTGCCTCCTGCCTGCAGGTGACCAGGCTGAGCCTGGAGGGCGACCCGGAGGCCCCATACCACTCACTGGAGACGCCACACTCCCCGCTGTACGCCGACCCCTACACGCCGCCTGCCACCTCCCACCACAAAGTCCGAGACGTCCGGGGCCTGGACGAGGTCAGTTCTCTGCTGGAGGCGGAAAGGGCCGGGCCGTTTGGGGTCAGGTGCCCCCCTCCAGGGGTGGGGCCGCCACCGCCTAAGGGTCAGAGGGAGCCTGCGGGGCCCCCCGAGAGGCCCGGGGCCCGTGGGTGGGGCCCCGAGTCACGGATGCTGTGCCGGCAGTTCCTCGCCGCCGTGAAGAGCTCCCGCAGCCCCGAGCCCCCGAGCCGGTTCCCCGCCGTCCCCGTGTCCGTGCCGGTCCCTGACCCCAGCGCTGCAGCCTCCGGCCCCCGCCCGCTCTCCAGGAAGGGTGCCCTGCAGGGCCGAGCCTCCCAGCGGCACCGGGGCTCCCCCAAGGGCCGAGAGCCCCAGCCCCCCGACTCCCCGCAGCTCGTGAGTAGCAGCCCCGCCCTGGGCAGGGGGACCAGGCAGGGGGCAGGGAGCATGGGGGTTTGCGGCTGCTCTTGGAGACCCTCCCCCAGGGCTGGGCTCTCACGCTTGTGTCCGGGCCTGCAGGTCGCCCCTCCCAGGGGAGTTTCTCCCAAGCCCCTGCCGCGCCCCCCAGGTGAGTGAGGGACCTTGCCTCTGTCGGGGGGGTGGGGGGGGACGCTCTGGGTGTCGCTTCCTGAAGGCACACGCCCCTCTGCCTCCCCCACCAGACGGCGAGCCCCCCAGGAGCTATGACAACGTCTGGGACAAGGCTCTGTCCCCCCCCCACCAGCAGCGGCCCCGTGGAGCCACCGAGGCCGACGGGGGGCTCCCGCAGTGGATCTGATGGGCCCCGGGCAGCCGTTTCCCAGGACTACCTGCCCGTGCCAGGCCTGCAGCGTCTCCAGCAAGGCCTGGTTGCTATGGGGCCATCGGCCGACCACCCCCCGCCCAACACCCAGGCAGGGTCTGACCCCGGGGGTGGAGAGGGTGTCGGACCCCTGAGTCTTCTAGGCTCTGGAGGGGCCAAGAGGACGCCCTCTCCCTGAGGACGCCCAAACCGGTGCAGCGGGACCGCAGACCCCAGCAGGACACCCAGAGCGGCCGAAGCCTGGCCCGTGCCCAGGGACAGAGTGAGGGAGGGGCTTGCTGGGGCCTCACCTGGGAATGGGAGGACAGAGCAGGGGCGAGGTCAGAGGGCCAAGAAAGTTGGGTTAGCGAGGGTCGGAGTACGTGAGGCCACGAGGTCAGAGGTGGCGAGGTCCGAGGTGGGAGGGTTGCCTGGGCACGTGCGGGTGGGGAGGTGATGCCCAGGAGAAAGGAACGAGAGACGAAACAAGAAGGAAGAGAAGGAAACTTTATTCATCCGTGTCCACACGTTCTTCCCTCGGCAGCCAGGAGGCTCCTGCTGCGTGGGGCCTGCGCCCGCTGCCCCTGCCCAGTGCCCTTCCAGCGCCTCCCGGCCCCCCGCCCACCTTCCTGCCCCCTCTCTGCCTCCTCTCAGCCCTGGCACAGCCCCAGGTGTCCCGTCCCTCCACCTGATGCCACCGAACTCAGCTGCACACCTTGTCCAGGGCTCCCCTGAGCAGGGGCCCCCGTCTCTGCCCGGCAGACCCCCACCCTGCAGGGGCGCTGGGGTCGCCTTCCTACGGCCCCCGTAGGTGCCTGCTCACTGCCTCCAGCCGAACCCTGGGAGGCCTTGGCCACAGGCCCTTGGGCTCAGGGCCCAAAGAGGCCTCAGAGGCCCCGCTGGCCCAGCCCTCTTGAGAACAGGGCAGAGGTCCCTGGGAGGCCCCCGCCCCAGAGTCCCCAGACCACCCTGCCCCCTCGCCCCACCCCCTGCCCAGATCTCCGGGTGGGGCCCTGCCGCCACCGCCGCTCTGGCGTCCTCTTACCCCAATGCTCTGTCCTGCCACATGCCCCCTCACAGACCACCAGGCCAAACAGACGCCCAGTTACATTCGACTTCAGATAAACCACAAACCGTTTCCTGGTGTGAGCACAGTGGTACCTTGGTACTCATGGTCAGTGTGCTCCGGGCCCCAGTGAGCGCCGAAACCAACGAACGCCGGGAGATGAAGCGTCTCCCCTTGCGGGGGGCATCCGACTCCCACAAGTTCTAGCTATGCAACGAGTCCTGGGCAGGAGCCAAGCGCCGAAACGTGCTTTGCTCGCCAAAATGCGACGCGTTCAGGGTCCGCCGTGTGCTGAAGCACGACTGCATGTCTCTGACACTGCCTGTCTGAAATTCCGCTTTTGCCGGATGCCCTGTCTTTACCTGCAACTATGCCCACCTCCCTAGCCAGCTCCCTGCTCGGCCCCAGCCACCCGACCTGCCAAACCTCCCCCCAGGCCTGGAGCACAGCCCGGGCTTCGGCCACTGGCCTGAGCCCGGAGTCCACGGAAGCCAGGACTGAAGACACGGGCCCCTTCCTAGATGCCGCCGAAGGGTGCAAGGGTCAGAGGGCAGCGCCCCGTCCTGAGCACCTGGGGCCACGTCCTTGTCCTGCATCTTCCCGGGCCGAGCGTGGGTCCTAGGAGCTGGGGCTGGGGCTGGGGCTGGGGCTGGGGCTGGGGCTGGGGCTGGGGCCGTGGCGCCCGCGCCGCGCCTGCCGGCGGAAGTAGCGGATGGCGGAGATGGTGCCGATGTTGGCCAGCAAGACTGCAAGGGAAGCAGGAGGCTGCCTGAGTCGCCACCTGGTGCCCGCGGGGCCTGGTCCTCCGAGGGCAGGAGGGTGGGGCGGGCAGTGGGTCAGCGGGGAAACCTGGGGCTCCCCTCGTCCCTGTGGGCCCAGAACGGGAGACGGCACCCCGGCGGGTCCACTGACTTCTCGGCACTGGCCCCCTCACCCCAGGGCCCCCAAACCTGTTTTCCAGGCGTCGGGGGTGTGCAGGTCTGACGTCCTCACAGCCCAGGTGGCAAAGGCCACAAACACCAGGCACATGTCATTCTGGCTGAAGGTCAACGAGGGGAGGGGTCCCGGGGGCTTTTCTGGGAAGGAAAAGCATGTTCTGAGCTCCAGCAGCTCCACTGAGACACGTCCGAGTGGGGACACGTCTGCCCTGGGACACGTCTGTGTGGGGACACGTCTGCCCCTCACAGGTCTGTCTGGGAACAGGTCTGCCCTGGGACACGTCTGTGTGGGGACACGTCTGTCTGGGAACACGTCTTCCCTGGGACACGTCTGTGTGGGGACGCGTCTGCCCTGGGACACACTGTCTGAGTCACGTCTGCCCCGTGATGCCTCTGTCCCGAGACCCAGGGGCGCGTGCGGCACAGTTGAGTCAGGTCGACGTGGGCGCCAGGCCCCTGGGGTGCCGCTGCCTGGCGTCCACGGGAGCCTCCAGAGGGAGCGTGAGATGAAACCCGTCGGGCGCCCGCCCTGCCAGCAGCTGGGGGCTCGGGTGTCATCTGGGCCTGCACTCAGGGTGACGGTCAGTGCACAGCCAAGGCCCTGAATGACCCGGCCCGGGCTGCCCCACCTGGACTGTGCCCTGGGGTGGCCAGGAACGGGTTCCTCCTTCCAGCGGGGTCCTGGCCTGCCCCTCCCCAGTGGCCGTCCTGGCTGACACCCCTGGACAGTGTGTTCCCAGGGTGCGCACAGGCCACGGGGCCCCCACGACACGCACCTGCTGTCCTGAGCACCAGGTCGAGCTGCTCTGCTGTGGCCGGGCTGGGCCCCGGCGGGGTGCCAGGCTCTGCTCCCGGGCGTGCCGACGCGGGGGCCTCTGCGTCCTGCAGTTGGAGAGGAGCGGCCAGCCCCAGCACGTCCCCCGACCTGTCCTCCCCAAGGAAGTGTTCATAGACCTCAGGGATGGAGATGGGCATGGGGTCTCCAGGCAGAGGGGCTGGTCCGGGCGTGGCTTGCGGGGGTGGGGCTGGGGACTGGCCCCGCCGGTGCCTAGACCTCGGGGCTTGGCTGTCCTGGAAGAAGAACTCACACACTTCCGGCCACTGGGCTTGGGCTGGGGCCTTGCCGGCCTCTGCTGCCTCCTCAGCATCTTCATCCTCCTCCTCGATAGTGTCACAGAAGAAGAACTCATAGGCTTCTGGGACGGTCACTGCAAAGCAGCTCCTGTACCCGAGGCCCTCAGAGGCCGAGGGGGCAGGGGGGGGCAGGTGCTTCAGGATCCGAGACTGCGGGGAGCGGGGCCCCACCGCCACTGCATCCCAAGCTCCGGGCCCCCCACGGCCCCCCGCGGCCGTCCTGGGGGCTGAGGACCAGGCTGGGGGTGGTGAGAGGGGTCTCAGGGCCTCTCCTGAGCCCGGCTCCTCGGGGCCGGGCACAGCCACTGAGAACCGCACTTTCTTCTTCTTGGCGGCTTGGGCGGGCCCCGGGGAGGGCTCCTCCGAGGCGTGTCCCGGGGCGTCTGCTGAGGGCTCCCCCGGGGGCTTCTCTCGGTGCCCCCCTGAAGACACAGCAGAGCTCGAGTGCAGCTTGGCCGGCGGGGCAGCCCCTGCCTCCTCCAGGTCAGGCCCGGCCTGGGGAACGGGGGCGGGCGCAGGCACGTCCACATCCACTTCAGGCTGCGCCTTTCGGACGGGTGCACACGAGTCCACCCCCGGCGTGGCCTCTGGGCCCGGCGCGGGCCGGCGCTCGTCCAGCCGAGGCTCGCAGGTGGGCACGGGCACAGACGCAGTCGCGCCGGGATGGAGCGCGGAGGCCGTTCCGGACAGAGCCGTGTCGGGCTCGGCCGTGGAGACGTCTGGGCAAGGCCCCTGGGCAGGGGTGGACACAGGGCGCGGGTCAGCTCCGGGGGCCGTCCTGAGCGGGTCCGCGCCTCGCTCGGCAGTGGGGAGGGGCGCCAGCAGGTCCAGCCCCGGCCCGGGCCTGGCCACCGGCTCAGGGGCTCCCGCCGCTGTCTCTGGCCCCAGCCTGTCCTGCTGGGCGCCCGTCACCTGCACCGCTGTCCCAGCCGAGGGTCCCTTCCCCGTGGTCCCGGCTGGGCCAAGGTCCTCCTCGGGCCTGGCCTCCGTGGGCCGCGGGGAGGCCAGCCGGGGGGATGCGGGGCCCGCGGCCCCCGAGCGGCCACCCCCCCTGGCACCGGCGGCTCGTCTCTTCTTTCGGCTGGGGCTGCGGGGTGGGGCTCCGGGGCTGCCGGGAGGCCTCTGGGGTGCAGAGCCGTGGCCCGGTGGCTCGGGGCTCGGAGGAGGCTCCCCAGGGGGCTTAGGGGGAGGGTCCCGGGGGGCCGGCCCCTGCAGAAGCCTCTGCATCTCGTCTCCGGAAGATTCTGGCCCTTGGAGGGACGTGCTCTGGCCAGGAGGGGCAGCGCCAGAGCTGAGGGACGGCCGGGCTTCTGACCGCGCCGACGTGCCGGGCATCTGCTGACCGGCCCCCGGGGCCAGGACGGGCTCTTGCCAAGACCTGCTGACCAGCTGCCGCGGGGCTGCCTGGTCCTCCTCCTTGAAGCCACGCCAGCCACTCCCCCCAAGGAGGGGCTGGGGCCCAGGGGGACTGCTGCCGCTGCTGTCCCCTTGGTCAATGTCACTGGACAGAAGCTCATCCCCGGAGGCCAGGCCGGCCTGCAGGAGGCCGCACTCCTCGGCAGCGGCCGAGAACTCAGCCCAGTCCTGGTCGCTCAGCTGGACGCTGTACTGGAAGTTCTCCATTTCGGGTCAGCAGGGGCAGGTGCGCGGCTGAGCTCGGGTCCTCACGCGCGGCCACGCCCTGCCCTGGCTGGGCACCGGGCCAGCATCTCCGTCCTGCACAGAGGCCCAGCGGGGTGCAGGGGCAAGCTGGCCGCTGCCTCTGGGGTCGAGTGTCCGCAGCCCCACGGTCCCTGCTTCCGAACTGACCCCGAGTGGCCACGTCAGGGCACGCTGTCACGCTCCTTCCGCCGGACACAGCTCCGGGTCGCCGAGGCGCACTGAGAGACAGGACCCTCGTGTTCGGGTTTTCGGCCCAAGAAGCGGCTTTCCTTCACATCTTCGAGCCTTGTTTGCTCGGCTGGGCCAGCCTCCCCTGCAGCCTTCCCTCAAACAGGCCGACTTCACACGGCAAAGCCCACCTCACGAGGGCCAGCCCTGGCCTATCCCAGCATGCCCCAGGTGGCAGCTGGCCATGGGGGCAGGGCCACGGTGGCCAGCAGGTGACCAGCCTTTGGTGATGACCTTCCAGGAGCCTTGGCTGGGACTGGCTGCTGGGCTCCCTCCAGCTCCCCAAGGTCAGGGTGCACTCGGTCATCAGGAGGACCTAGGCAGGAGGTCACAGACCAGAAGTGAGGCTCCTGACCCCCAGCGGCTCCCCGGGTCAGGTCCCCCGGAGGGTCGGTGGGGCCCCTGACCCAGACCTGCCCAGCTGGCAGAGGCTCCTCCATCTGCCCCGTCTCGGCGACCTTGGCGACCCTAGCTGGAGAGCCTCCAACTCTCAGGCCCCTGTGGGGGCTGCCCTGGCCTTTGCCAGCCCGGTCCTGGGACGCAGACACCTGGACACCAGGGAACGGTGGCTCCCTGACCACTGAACTTCACCCTCCTCTCCAGGTCTGGGAAGGTCCCTGTGGGGTCTGGCTGCCTTTGGGACCCCTCAGGATTGGAACGAGGGGCCGCTGGAGTCGTACCTGGGACCCCGTGGCCAGCCGGGCATCAGAGTGGGGCGTCCGAGCTGCCTTTCCCGGGGCGGCTTGGTGCTGGGCTCGCCGTGCAGGCCCCACCCCCACGGCCAAAAATACCGACCGGGGGTCACATGTCCGCTGCCAGCTCTCAGGGTCCAGGCCACAAATAGATGGCATTTGAGAGGCCTCCAGCTACGTGAGGGACACCTTCCTGGGCAGGTGGGACGCCGGCCAGAGAACGCTGACCGGCACTCAGCACCTGCCGCCGCCCTCCGCCTGGCTGCCGCCCACTGCTTCCTCTTAAAGGGGCCTCGTGGCTGTGAGGCCTCAGAACCCCCTCCCGCTGCCTCACTGCCAGCAGCCCCCCCCACGGCTAGCTTGGGCCCTCTGGGTCTCAGGGCTTGACCCCGACACCTGTGGGGAATGGAGGGAGTCAGAATGACAAGCTAGGAACTGATGGATTCCAGAATGTTCCTCGAGGTCCTTTGCAGGTGTGCTGTTTGCAGACTCTAGGGCAGGGCTTGCGCCTCCCTCGTCTGGACCCAAGGGGCACACTGGCCCCTCCCTGGCAGCACTGTGTACCCTGCTGGGGCTCGGGGGCCCATGGGGCATTAAAGGCTCTCTGTGGAGGGCACCCCACGTGGGCATGGCCCCTGGGCCTCTGGAGAGGGTTGGAAGGGGTCGAGGAGGAGAGCGATCCGCTCCCCACTGGCATCTCCCCACACGGCGCCTGGGGACAGGACCCAAGGGGGCTGCCAATCCCCGGGTGCACCAGTCACCAGAGAGAGGGCAGCAGTGACGTGCCTCTGACACGGGCTGGAGAGTGGCAGCCCCTCCAGGACCCCCTGAGCCCCTTCCCAGAACCATCCACCCTGGGGGGTGCCAGAAGGACCCTCTGTCCCAGCTGAGCTGTGGGAAGCACAGAGGGTGAGTGACCCATGCCAGCCCCACAGCCAGCGAGAGGGAGTCGGGTCCCCGAGCCCCTGCTCTCGGTGGTGCCCCAGGCCATCCCAACCTGACCCGGGGGGCAGCACTGCCTCTCCCTGGGCAGGTCACTGGGACACACACTCCTCTGGCCTCCGGCAGGGGACACAAGGGAAGAGTAGTGGGCTAGACACATGGGGAGACAGAGGGGTTCCCAACGGCACCACGTCGCAAGGAGGAGGCGGAGAGCCTGGGACGAAAGTCATGAGAGTCTGAGGGACAAGCCTCGGCGGTGGGGACAGCAGGGCCCCGGCTGTGAGGGTGACAGGGGAGGTGTCGCAAGGAAGAGCCCAGCACGGGCGGCTGAGCCTCGATGAGCCACTCTGTGTGACCGGCGTGCAGGAAGGGCCCAAGGAGACCAATGGCAGGTGAGCGCACCATGTGGCTCCCGCTGGACGCCACACGGGAAGGTGGAGGCCTGGGCTGGGGCGACGTTCGCCCTGGGAGCCTTTCTCCGTTCTCACGCCCGTGTCTCCTGCGAGGGCTCTCCTGGCCACACCGAACGCTCCTCTGGGGCCCAGACGCAGGGGCTCACACACCAGGAAGTTCTGCGACACCCACTCCAGTCGATGCTCACGTCGTCCACCCGGGCGGAGCCTCAGATCCCGGGGTGAGGGCTCAGACCCACGAGACCGCCGCCCCTCTGACGCCAGGTCCCACGACATCTGTCCAGCCTGACACGAATCGTCGGTGCCCTGGTCGTTGCCCCTTGGATTCATCTGCTGGAGCAGCTCACAGAACCGAGGGAACGACTTTGCTTTGACCAGCTGGTGACAAAAGGACATGCCAAAGGACACGGAGGAGCCCCCGGACAGGAGAGGCGTGGTCAGCAAGGCAGGTGGGCGTGGCAGAGCATCTGCGGCCTCTGGGCCCCCGCCCCGGCTGCCCTGCCCACTCTCCCGGAAGCCCCCAGACCCCCAGGCCCCGGGGTTCTGTGGCGCTTCTGCACTCCGCACAGTGACCCGTCCTTCGCCCTGGCTTCAGCTGTCCCTCCTCATGAGAGTGGGGTGTGGGGCTAAAATCCCCGAGTTTCCAACCGTGGTTTGGCATTTCTGGCAACCAGACCCTTCGCAGGAGCCCTCGGGACCTGCCTCATTAGAACAAGGGCCGCCGGAGCCAGAGCCGGGTGCCAGGAACGGGGCGGCCTGGCCCGTGCAGGTCCCGTCACCTCTCGGTCACTTCCTTCCCGCACCAGGCTGCAGCTGTGCCTGGGGCGCTGCGCCCTCTGCGTCCCTGCGTGTGCCCACCTGCAGGGTCTCCAGGAGCTGGGACTCGAGTCGTTTTCCATTTGCAGCTCTAATGAACAGTGATGCTGAGAGCCTTCTGGAACATTCTTCTGGCAAACACGCCTGCAGTTGTGGAGAGCGGCTGGGCCGTAGGCTGCAGTGGGCGTGTGTCACCTCCATGGCAGGACACTGGGTGTCCACGGCCTCATCCCTGGTAACAGAGAGACTACTGGCCATTTGCAACTTCTCAGGGCTTTTGCCAGTTTTTAGGCCTTTTTCTTATTGATTTGGGGGAGTTTCCACCCTCTCTGGATGTGAATCTTATTGAATGTTTGGACCTTGAGTATGTTCTCCCTCTGTCTCCCCTTTTCACTCTCTTCACGGTGCCTTTGCGTGAACAGAAGCTTGAATCGATAAAATTTAAATTGCATCATAGTCCAAGCTGTCAACAGTTTCCTTTTCGGTTATCACGTGTGCCCGTCCCTGGCACCCCGAGCCCGCCCCGGGGTCTCGAAGGGCAGCCCCAGATCAGCCTTTCTGGAGCACACGGGGAGGGCAGGGGGAGACTGGCTCTGAGGCTGCGGGGGTGGGGTGGAAGACGGTGGGGCCCTGTAAGGACCCGGACGGCCTTGGGAAGACCAGCTGTCGCAGGAGTTAATTCCCACCCCAATCACTACCGTCAGGGCGACCTGGGACACCTGGGGCCCAGCAAGGAAACCAGGCGGGGCTCCACCACAGGCCCACGGGACCCTAGCCCAGACCCTCGGTGGGTGGAGGTGCAGAGTCTTCGGAGACCGGCGCCTGGGTGGGGGTGCGGCTAGGGGCGAGCCCGCTCCCGTGGGAGGGCGCACCCCCCACGCAGGGGGCGCCCAGACAGTCGCGCCAAGATGGGTGGACGGCCGCATGACCTGCTGTACCCCTAGTAGCCACCAGAGGGCACCAGGACCCCACTGGAGGCCGACAGAGCCAGGTCCCTCTGGACAGTTCTGGGGGTGCCAGGACCCCTTTCCTGAAGTCTTGCAGCTCCTTGAACCCTGGGCCTTGAGTCAGGGAGCTATCAGAAAGAGCCAGCTTTCAACAAGCAGCTGTTACACGCCAGGCAGTCTTAAACGTTTCCCACAGATTACTGGCTTTTTACTTTTTTACAAATCGTTCTAATGAGGTATTACGTACACTCAACAAACTGCACGTACTTAAAGTGTAAAGTTCGCTAAGTCTCGACAGGTATACACGCAGGAAGCCATCACCATGGTCCAGAGAGCGAACATGCCTGTCGCCCCTGAAGGTTCCCCCGCCCCGGGGAAATGCCCCCTCCCTGCTCCCAGCGGACAGACGGTAACTGGCTTTGTCGCTGGGTGGCAGTTAGGTGGCATTACTTGGAATTTTATACAAATGGATGAGGACGACAGGACAGTGTGTCTGGTGTCTGCCACCCAACACCCACACCACTGTGCATATCAATAGTTCTCTTTTTTTGCTTTTAAATGTGGAGTGTTCTGTTGTTGGATGCGCAGTCGGTTGGTCTATCCATTCTACACGAAGCTGCTGCGAGCATTTGTCTTCTGGTCTCGGTGTGGACGTGCGTTTTCATTTCTCTTGGGGTGGGATGGCTGGGCCACAGGGCGGGAATACCTTTAACTTTCTAAGAAACTGCCAGACTGTTCCCCCGGCTGACGTGGTTCAGTGGATTGAGTGCCGCCCTGCAAACTGAAAGGTGGCTGGTTCAGTTCCCAGTCAGGGCACGTGCCTGGGTTGTGGGCCAGATCCCTAGTGGGTAGGGGCATGTGAGAGGCAGCCACACACTGATGTCGCCCTCCCTCTCTTTCTCCCTCTCTTCCCCTCTCTAAAAATAAATAAATAAAAAACTCATACAACTCAACACCGGGAATACAAACAATCCAATTTAAAATGGGCAAAGGACCTGAACAAACACTTCTCCATGGAGGACATACAGATGGTCCAGAGACACATGAAAGGATGCTCAGCATTGCTAGCCATCAGAGAGATGCGAATTAAAATGACAATGACCTAGTGCACTGTTGGTGGGAATGCAGACTGGTGCAGCCACTGTGGAAAACAGTGTGGAATTTCCTCAGAAAACTAAAAATAGAACTGTCTTTTGACCCTGCAATTCCACTGCTGGGACTATGTCCTAAGAACCCTGAAACACCAGTACAAAAGAACCTGTGTACCCCAATGTTCACAGCAGCACAATTCACAACAGCCAAGTGCTGCAAGCAACCGAGGTGCCCATCAGTACA